TTGACTATAGTGAATAATGAAGAGAAGAATAGTTGTGGTGATCAGTCAAATAAGAAGGCAAAAATAAATGATAATATTTATTTTGACATTTGCCGACTTCTATCAACTTTCGTTTAATTTTCCATAATATTTATGAGTAATATATCTCTCGTCCTTATTTAAGCTTCCGGTACTTTAGTTCAAACTTCGTCAGATAACCGTTGGAGATGACGCCACTATACATCCCTTCTCTCCACCCCCTCCTCGTACTAACATGCTCATTGCTTCGATTTACTTCTTGGCAGTTAGGTGTGTTTTTCTTTTTCTTTCTTATTCTCTTTCGTAATTCAGACTTCTTCTCCTCTCAGTTTCTCTGAGTTCTTTCTCAGTTTCTTTCCTCCTTCCTTTCATCCCTTTTCTCTGTTTTAACTCTTTATTATATTATACCTTGTCTGTACATCTTAATAGACTTTACAACATCTCAATTTTCTATCTAACTATTCTATTCAAAATATCTTAATTTTACTGTTTATTTCCATTTCTTATATAACTTCATATTTTTCTGTTTTAAATTTTATTCTAAGATTCCCATTTTAATACTTATGTCACCTTTTTAATTATGTTTACTTCATCATACTTTGTACCGCTTATTATCATTTATTTCTTAGTTCTTACTATTGTCATTATTCTAACAACTGCATTTTACTTTCATTTTTTTTTTTACCTACACTACTTATGTTTCTCATACCTTGTTATCTGGTTCTTTTCTTAGCCCTGATGATGGCCTGAACTTCAGGTCGAAACGTCGAAACTATTCTTCTCTTCATTTTCTTATAATAATATTATTTCATTTAAAACAATCAATTTCCATGCCCCCCAACTTCCCATCGAATAAGTTAAATTTATACATTTGGATCACTTTCCATTTCCTTTAACGACTATAAAACTTCACAATAAAGAACAAACAACAACCATTGGAATATTGAGTATAATGCACACGCTAGTAAAGAGCAGCAAAGATGGAAGAGAATATACAGATTTCGGAGGTCATGTGGCTATTTCGCCAGGATATGAGTTTTATATTATTTTTGTTAATTTTACTATGATAATTTTAATAATACCTAATAATTGTTAAGAAATAATTATCGTGAACTGCTTAGCAAACATCGCATGGTTGATCAGCTGTTAGAATTGAACTACCATTGTATGGACTATAAACTATCTGAATATGATTTTTTTAATAAGGCATGTTGAAATTCATTTCATGGCGGACTTTCGGAATAAATTACGCACGACCTTCTCACTGTGATTGAAATAGATTCCGTTGTAACTTCTGAACCAATGAAGAATGAACCAACATTTCCATTAATTCAACTTCATACATGGGTTGCTCCGTCAATAATGGGAAATATTTAAAGAAATGTTAGTAAATCTCAACCGTTTACGTAAAAAAAAAAAGAAAGTAATTTCATAGAAAAATGGTATATCCCATATCATTTTAATAAATTATAAAACTTGGTGGCGAGTCTATCCGGTCCCTTTTACTATCTAAAGAATATAAATAAATGCAGAGAAACACTGACAAGAACAATATAAAAGTATCAAGAAACACAGCATTTTTCGAAGAATAGAATGTTTCCTGTAGACAAGGAAGATTTTTATAGTTCAATACTTTTCAACTAATAACTTCATTAACTCTGAATTGAGTTCATCTAAAGAACTGGACCAAAAAATTAACCTTGTAAAAAGGTCTTAACGGTTTTGTGTTGTGCGGGAACTGTAGCCACGCAGCGCCGTCTTCGGTAAGTTCTTATCGCCGGATCGGAAAGGAACTTCCGGATCGGACCGGATTGGGAGAAATATAGATCTAACGTACGTTTAGGCCTAGTGATAATTGTTTTCATTATCTAGGTATATCCTCGAAATAAACCGAGGAGGAAGAAAATTAAAAACGAGCACATTGTATAAAAGTATTCATTGTGAAGTTGTCTGGGTATAGGATAATGAAGGAATGTAGTTTAGACACGAGTGGCTAAACAAGAAGCCGTAGTGGTCGAGCATGTTAAAGCTGCCACCCGCTTAACCATTATCGAGTCTAGCGGCGCCGATTCGTCAGGGTGGGTTCAAATTTATTTCGAGGAATGCTAGCTTGTGGCACGCGTTATAAAAATGCTGGGAACTCCTGACTTACACAACAGATTCTGCACCTAGTCTAATCAATGGAAACTCTGCAACACGCATATGTTTACTCCAAATAATTGAAATAAATAATTATACAGGGAGTTTCATGGTTAAGTAGTTAAATTAAGGACCTCAAAAAAAGAAAAAAAGTTTCCTTTGAAGGTATGTCCGCAAACGCTTTGTTTAGGAGATATTCACACCTAAAGATTTTCGTTGTTATGAATTATTTACGTTATGTGAAATAAATAAAACCTATTTATTTGTTCTAACTACTTTATTAATTAAATGAAAACATTAATATTCATATTAAATGTTACTCAAAGTGAAGGTTTGTCCGCAAAAACTTTGTGAAGGAGATGGATTAGATAGAATATAATATGGCCTTTTATCCCTAACTGTATAAAAACTATTGACAATATAAGGATTATTACTATTTGGAGTTAGCATTGGGAACTATCAATAACATTTATCAGTTTGTAAGAAGCTTTCGCAGAGTACTCATCATCATGCCTTCCATTTATACTAATGGTGAATATGCCGATTTGGTGATTGTATACGGTTTTTACAATGGTAATGTTAATGCTGTCTGTTGTGAATATACCAAGCGATTTCCGAATAGAAGATTACCAAACAAGTCTATCTTTAGCTCCACGTTTCAACGTCTTAGAGAAACTGCTATAATATCACGTGCTGATGGTATTTTTGCCCCTTGACGAAATGAAGAAAGGAGTGCAACCATATTACAATATTTTGATGATAATCCATCTGGCAGTGCACGAAGAGCTGGAGCAGAATTAAATATTATGCCAACTACTGTATGGAGAGCTCTCATTGCAGATGGACTTCACCCATATCATTATCAACGGGTACAAAATTTTCTACCACAAGATTTTCGGCAAAGAAGAAATATTTCAGATTGGTACTTATATCAAGTTGAGCACAATCCACAATTTTCAGGAAAAATCTTTGTACAGAGGGAGCAACCTTTACAAAAAGAGGTATCTTCAATCAGAAAAATAATCATCTTTGGTCACAGGAAAATCTCCATGCAATTCGTGAGCATCATTTGCAGCACCAGTTTCAGTGCAATGTATGTTGGGGATAATAGGCAATACTTTAATAGGTTCGCATTTCTTGCCGCCTCGAATCAATGCGGGATCATTTCTGGAATTTCTTAATAATGATTACTATGATTTAGTTGAACATATTCCAGTACAACTGAGAAGGGACATGTGGCTTCCATTAGATGGCTGTCCTGCACATTACGGAAGACATCAACGACAGTTATCCCAATTGGCCGTGCAGGGATTTTTTGTGTTTGGATTGACATTAAACAAAAAGTCTATGCAAGTCCGGTCAATGACCTTAATTCGTTACGAAGAAGGATAATTGAATCTTGTGAAATAATTACACATATTCAGTGCCGTTCTCCCACTGCTTCTGTTGAAGAAATTTGCCGAGCCTACCTTAATACTCAAGGAAATCACTTTGAACATTTAATATGAATTTTATGTTTAGTTTTAATTAGTAAAGTAGTTGGAACAAATAAATAAGTTTTATTTACTTAATATATTTTTTTTTTGTTTATCAAAAATATATTTGCGCCTGTCAACTTATTGTTGACAATCATCAAATATTATGGCGATACATGATATAATGACATAAGAGGCTTGAGGAAGGAAAGTACTCAGCAGTACCTCTTCCCTAACTTGTTACGATTACTTAGGCTGCCTAAGGAAGGAGATCTTAATATAACATAAATAATTCATAACAATGAAAATCTTTAGGTTTGGATATCTCCTATAAATATATATAGTCCCTAATTTTTGAAAGATTCACGACAAGCTAGGGAAGGGCAGGAGAACGGGAAGAGAATATATATAAATAAAATAAAAATTTTGTATTCTATTGATTATTTTAATTTATAATTTAAAAACTCTTAAGACAAAATGGATTTTTTTTTTATACACATAACATTATATTTGTAAATCAAAGTTGATCTTTAAAAAAATACAAATACGCTGAATGAATTACTACTAAATATTATAAACTTAATAAATACAATAATAAACCTTCACTAAATAAATATAAGAGAGACTTACAATATTGACTAGAAAAAAAAATAGGTGAAATAACCAAACAAAAAAATTATATCCTTAAATAAACATCATGATCTTAGAAAGTATACCCAATCCCTTAATTTAGTAATTATTATTACACATATTTTAATTACAATAATTCTATGTGACCATTGTCATACATTAGATTATATGTACGTTCCATGATATAATTACCTTATATATCTTACTGGTATAATTATCTTATATAACTTGTGAATATATTTCCTTATATATTACTTTTGATTTTAAATAATTATTTTTATCCTACTATAAGTTTTACTTTAGCAAATGCTGAGAATATAAGGCTTTTTTGATAGATTTACCTACATGTTGAGTTCATTGACAGTCTTTAGATATCCTATTAATATTAATATTAATATAACAACAATTTTCTTGTGGAACTGTCAATAAAATAAATAAATAATTTTATGATAACTTCATATTGTTTTCAAAACAGAGGCTATGTTTATGGCGCATAGGATATGGTTTAGGCGAGGTGGGTAGCAAAACATCTCATTTACCAACAATTTCGCTTGATCACTTTTACCTCTAATCCTAGAAAATTGTACAGGGGTAATGAGGTAGAAGGTTTTTAAAACTAAAATACAACATTCATTGTAATGAATACAAATTTTATTAATTATAATATATGAACATTATATTCATTCAAATTGTAGGAACTATCCTTACTTCAATTTGTTAGGATAGATCTGAGTTTACGTCGATCAGATCATCTTTGTACTATTCAGGTCGTAATACAACTTTTAATAAGTAATAACTTAAAGCCATTGTGTCTGATTCAATAACATAAAACGTTGAAAAACTAAATATGGTTTTGCCTATTTTCAAAATATTTTTTTATAATATGGAAAGAAAAGGTGGTATATCACCATCCTTAAAAAAGATAAATTTAGATTCATGACTCACAGAATTACTTTACAGAGTTTCACATATCAAATTTTTCCGATATCGTGTCAATCGAGGCAGCATCATACATATCTTTTCTAACTCGTTCTCTCATTTTCATTGGACAGATAAGTTTTCTTATAGCCAAATTAAATGGTCTATGCCACCAGGCATAAATAATGGGATTCAATACCGAATTCAAGAATCCCAGGAGTGCTAAAGGAGATGAAAGAGCGAGAGCCATTTCTTTACAGGTCTTATTGTCTTCGTGTTTTTGACAAAAAACGCCATATCCAAAACCAGTCACCATGTACGGACCCCAGGTGAGCAGAAAGCAGATTGAAGACAGGAAGACAACAACTATTGATCTGAATTTCATCCTGGAATTACCGTTGTGGATGGCTTTAGTGGCCCTCCTGACGTGGACAAAGACCACAGTGTAGAGGATCGCGGTGACAAGAAGCGCTGGGATCGCCACGGACGCAGCCACTACCACCACCGTCGGGTTGATGTTGACGAACCTGCAATGGAAGGCTGCATCTGAGGCGGCCATCTTGTAGAACAGTTCTGGGACCAGGCCGAACCCCACCGCCACGAACCAGGAGCACAGAATCAGGAGTCGGATCCTATTATGTGTGAGGATGTTGTCATACTTGATACCGTGAACGATGTAGAAGTATCTTTCCACTGCGATGAGAACGATAGATACCATGGATAGCAAGCTGAAGCTCACTTCTCCACCTGTGTCAAACAAACACAAAATTTTAAAAGAAAATTAATATGGACTTATGGACTTATCCTCCTTTTTCATGCATCAACATTCATTCAATATAGTAAATAATTTGGGAATTATATTATATTATACATTATAATCAGGTTGAATATTAAGGAGTGTGTTTTCCTAGCGACTTATCTGCAAAATATAATATGGCGTGCATGGCTTGGGGTCAGACATGCATCGTAGCATAAGTTCAGACATGCACCATGTTGCCGTGGGTTGAGACATGGACCATGATATAATGTGACACCGTCCCATGTTATACTTTGATGCCAGATCGTTTCCACCCTTTTTGATTTTTCAGCGTTACATGGACGAGACAATAACAACTAAAATTTAAAAAAAAATGGTAAATTAAGAATAGATTCTTCTCTTTTCATGTAAGACTCAATTATGTTAGCGTACAATAATTATATTATATTATAAATCATAACAACCAATATCAATTGTAGTATATTGTTTCATAATTGAAGCGTGGAAAGTGGCGTCAGCAAACGTTTTCATAATTTATGTTTAAAACATGAATATTTTTATAGACATGTGACAATTATCAAAAACTTTCTTATTCCTTGCTACGGGATGACTCGACACTTACGACTTTTGGTGAAGCCTTGAAATTTGAATCGTTACGCTAATTAACTACCTGGAGATATTAACTATAAATTTTCATTTACTTATTTTTTTAACATTTAAACAATATCATAGGTTAAAATGAAAATGATCTCTTTACCTGATTGGCATCCCATGATTTTATTAATAGATGTAAATCGGAAGTACGGTTTAACTCAACATCGTTGTCGGCTAAATATTACTGAATTAATTATTCGAAAATAAAACACTTTATTAATAGGATTTATTTTGTAATCAGCCATAATAATTATCAATCTCTTTTTAAATGTTTTCAATATGATTTAATATTAATAACAAAGCAAGTTTCCTTCTTTTGTTATCTAAGGTGTTTTTGATATCTTTTCATGATCACTTCAAATTATGAAAGATGAAATATGGCCATATTCGGTCTAACAACCAACTAACTATAATATAATATAACAACTAAAACTGTCTAGCACGTCAATTGTATATATTATAGTTTTATATTAATTAAATTTATCTACTATTATATAAATTACTAGTATATTAATTTATTTACCTGTATATTATATTAATTAAATTTGAAATTAGTACACGTTATAAATCGTATTTGTAATAATAATGCTTTTTTGAATACATAATACAAAAAAAAAAAACTATGGAATAGAATACAAAACAGTTTACGGCATGGAAATCCATCAGGTGGAAATTGTATTTGTATATATATATATATATATATATATATATATAGTTTTATTTTTGTAGTTTTATATAGTTTATTTTTGTATTATGTATTCAAAAAAGTATTATTACAAATACGATTTATAACGTGTACTAATTTCAAATATAATTAATATATTATATGGGTAACTAAATTAATATAATAGTATATACATATATACACATTCCTTTAGTTTATTTTTAGTGTGAATTAATATTCTGTTTGTGTAGTAGATTGTATATATTTACATGACAACTGTTCAATATCCCTTGATGGTGGGCTATTTGTGAAAAAATAAATTTAAAAAATCAGAAGATATCTAGGATTCGGATTATGTTATTTAAGATCTATAAAGATATATAAAATCCTAGTAGTCGACGCACTATACAGCTAATCTCCTCCTCTAATTAATGTGATAGATAATGACAAGATCAATAGATGTAACATAACCTAGCGGCACAGATGCTATCTATATAAGTGTCACTTGATCTTGCTTTGATCACACCTCACACAATGCCAAGAGAAATATCACATTGAAAAGCGAAGATTCTCTTCGGGCAGTTATTACGGCATTCCCAGTTGGAAGGGGGCCACACGTATCGGCCAGCCCTGAAACAACATACGAAAGACCCTCTCCAAATGTACAACCTTCCATTGCCACTGCGCGGTGAATACATTCACCCACAGCGACATTTCATGGTCTGTGTTAATAAATAGAAATCGATCCCGTATGGTTTAATTTAACCAATAACTTTAAGAACGTCTGGATATTTTAAAACGTACAAAAGCTATTAACCAAAAATAAGAGATTTAAAAAACATTGTTTATTTATAAAAATTATTTATTCATGAGTATAGTTTCCGTTAGAGAATTTCCGGCTTCCCATTCCTCCCCATTTCTGACATACGGTGGGTGGGGGAGAGGGAGAGAGAGGGAGGGTTGTTCAAGAAGTATGACCAAACCTAGTCTAGCCGGAGCGGAAGATCGAAATTCATTGCATGTGTACGCCATGAAATATATTTCAATCCGGATTTAAACCGGCGCACACTGTGGTAAATTGCGATTGTACATTGGGTTTGGGAGAAGAAACAAAAATTACAATTTTTACTGCATTATTGATAAACTAATATCGTTTCCGCTTCATGCCCAGTAATTTTAAACTTAATTATCGCATTAATGATGCCTTTATGTGAGATAATAGGAGAAGAAATGAAAACTATGTTTTTTATATTTAAAGCTGGTTTTCCGGTATTTTTATTTCAAAACTAACAGTATGTGATGGGTAATATTAGGTACTTCTAGTGAATCCTAAGACAGCTGAAATATCGGTTTTTAAATATATGCATAGTTGTTACGGCATTTCAAACAATCAAACAATTTTGGACCATTTCGCAAATCACCCGAAAAACCAGATATATCCTATTGTTAATAAAGGTTTGAACTTCTAAAAACAGTTTTCAGATCTTGCCCCAACATATCACCAGGGAAGTTATTGAGAATTTAACACGCGAGAACGTTGAATTCAGAGTGACTTTAGTTACTTTTATTTATTTATTTTTTTTACTAGCATGTTCGAGTTACTATTATTATTTTGACTAAATAATATCTGATTGTCAATACTGACCAAATTACAAACATATAACAAGTTTATTACCTAATTTTAAAAAAATATATAAATAAATATTTTTTATTATTACATATATATAACTGTATATTCATGTTTGTTTATATTTTAGGTGAAATTATATTTTACTATATAAATAAAAGCTATATCTTTCACCACATTTATTTTTATTTCCCCTTGACAGTGGCAACGTCTCGGCTACGGTGCGATTTTCAAGCCATCTAGTTAATATTAGTCATTCTATTTAGTCCATAATTGACTAAATTATCATTATATCAAGTATTTTATGTTAAATAATAATTGTTTCGTGCAAAATAATTATTTCACGATAAGTATTTGAAGGATAAGTATTTCACGTAAAATAAATATTGTAAAAATATTCTCGGTAGATACCAATGGAATGTTTAAAATCCACGACTTGGGGTTTGTATGGTAAACATTACATTGTTTAGATATCGTATAATTTATTACCTATTTCGTAACGACCTATTATAATAAAATATAAAGTTACATTAATGTAATAATAAAAAATATTCATTTATTTTAAATCAGCTAGTAAACTCGTTATATGTTTTTAATTTGGTCAGTACTGACAATCAGATATTCTTTCTCAGTAGAAAAAGAGTCAACGGACAATTTTTTCTTTTAGATTTTGTTGCCTGTTATTTACCTATTACGAATGATGATACTTAACATGAACATTTTTTTTTTTAAGTACAGGATTACATCGATAAAATCCTAACTTGTTATGATAAAGTTAACTTAAATGTTTGTTTTTTAATGGCTTTTAGTAAAATGATTTGCCACTATTTTTGCAGTTTATAATAGATTCACTAATAACAAATATCTCAACTTTTTGGATTTTGAATCCTGTACACTGTTCTCTGAATTTCTTCCAACAATGGGTTAAATCGAACGAACCATTTTTGAAATATTACCGTTTCAAGAAAATACATTTGCGAGTTCTTAAGTGAAAATATTTTTTGAAAGTAGTGGATGGAATATGATGGAATTTATATCTAGTTGATCATTTTTTTCATCAACCCTAACTTCTCTCCAAGTTTGGACCAAATGTAAAGTGTGGTTTTGAGATATATGCCTATCTAGGGTAAATGGTGGGTGAGATTCGATGAAATGAAGTGCTAGTTGAAATTTTCAGTTTTTTTTATATTTTCAGAAAGCTTTTATATATTCATACACATTGTAATATAGACTATCTGCTAAATTTCTATAATAGCATTTTTAGAATAATTTTTTATTATAGTCATTGTATGCGATTTGTTAAAATAATATAGAAAAGTAGAATAATAGGAAAATTAGAAAAAAGTACTAAAGATACTGTATAAAAAAAATGTTCCGATTTTACAGTCTGTTTTTACTTTCACTTACCGATATATGGAAGATTTATATTTAGATCGGGAAAATTTTCGAATATTAGTTTTCAACGGAAATACATCTTTTGAGGCCCCCTGAGTCCAAATAACAAAGTTCCGCTAAATAGTCCTTGTGTATATGTGTACATATTCAGTCGAGATAAAAAACGAAAAGTCCTACGATAATGAAATTGCATATTCAAGGTCTATATATGCATGGGATGTCACAGCAACTTGTATTGGCAACAAGCAACAGCAACAGCACCGAAATTGGCACAAATTTTTACGATTTTTTTCTAAAACGGCTCCAACAATTTCGATTAAACTCGGTGTATCATTATATAATTAAGTGGTCTTTAATATCATTTAGGTCTTTTCCATGTTGATATCACTGTACAGGCCTTAAATGCCTAATGTTCAACGTGCCTTCCTCTAAAGTACCTTTAATTTTATTTATTTTAAATAATTAACTATCTCTCATTGTTCGGAGTTACGAAAAAATGCTAGATATAACTTTTGAAAGAATTTTATGATTGAAAAATGGAAGAAGGTATGCGTATAAGATATCGTTGGAAGGAGAATAATTTAGGCAATAAAAAAAATCTAATGTAGAAGCTATAGAAGGCAATAAGGAGTGAAGACAAAAATATAAATAATAATTTCTGAAGACTATTATCATTTAACGGATCACGTGTTTTCAAGGAAACGAAATTTATTAACGAAATTTAAACTTTTAAAATTTGTTTGAAATAGTATTTAAAATCCATCTAATCAAGGAAATGAATTGTTCAAAAAACTATTTCATTCTAGTTTACTGAAAGAAGAAGTGAAACACAAAAATATTTCATGAATGTATAAAGCAGTTTATGTATATGTTTATAACCTTAAATACATTTACTCCATTCATATATACACTGACAGGCAAAAAATTCCACCCACTTGTTACCCATTAAGGATCCACGTTGGAAAGGTTGGCTCTGGGAAAAATTACAAGCTGCATATCTTTCGTTTCTTCTTCTCCACACCCTTTCACGCCCGTCTGGAGATCGAAGAGCGAATCTTGACTCATTTGTAAAAAGTACAGCACTCCATTTGTCCAATAGCTGTGTTCTCGAGCAAAAGCCAGCCATGTTACTCTGTGAGTTCTGGTCAACTCTGGTCCTCTTACTGGACGAAAAGCCATCAATCCATACTCATTTAATCTTCTCCGAGCGGTACATTCAGAAATTTGTACACCTCGAACTTATTCGAGCTGATGAATCGCTTGAACAACGGTAAGGTACCAGTTTCGTATAATTCTCAAAGTCAAAAACCGGTCATCCCATAGTATACATAATGGGAATGCGTAAAAAAAAAAAAAAAAAATGCTGTTTCATATTTATCGAATTTCATCCATTATTTCCTCTTACATATCTGGTTATGGATTCGCGAATACATTTTCTTATACCCATCTATCTCAAAAACTGGTATTTCGATTTGGCCCGATCTCGATGAACAATTATGTAGTAGGAACAATTTTAGCAAATTTAATCCCCTACTTACAAAAAAATTATTCCTCTTACATATGCGCAAATGTTTATCCTGCCTGGATATACCAAGATTGGTTGTTTAATTTAGCACGATGTTGGAGGAAATTTAGAGAATAGTTGGTCTAATACTAAGATAAGAAAAGAATAGACGGTCTAATACTAATTTCATTGAATCATACCTAACATTTAGGTATGTTGTTTTTAATTGTTAAAATTGACTATATTTAAACTATAAAATTGATTCAGAATCATTTTGTTTAATAATTAATATTAATTAGTAACTTGTGGTAAACAATATTAAAAAGTTAATGATGCCAGGTCCCGCACAGTGGTACGAGTGACCAATCCCGGTAAAAAAAACTATAAAACTTGATATTTTATTTGTATTCCAACTGTGTTTCTAATTGCTGTAAAAGCACATGATATTCTACTAATTTATACACTAATATAAGGAAAAAAGTAAGGAAAGACGTAGTAGAAACAATAAATGAATGAATACATATGATAATAAATGTATATATACGTACATATATATTGCATGTACTTATATTGTAATAGATGAAAACTAAAATGGAGGATAAAAAAAAATATATATATATTTATAAATAGAATCTTCTCAATTTTTATTTTGTGTATATCAAATACAAAAAAAAAATACATTTTTTTGTATTTTGTAATTTTAAAAAATACAGGATTAAAAAATGTATTAATATTATACAATAATATTAATATATTAATTAACTTGAAATGCTAAATTCGAAAAATGTATTTTATTTTGTATTTTAGAATATTTTATTTGAAATACTACTCAGGTTTGATCCAATATTCAACTGCATTTGGCATTCTCATTTAACGGAGACTTCTGTAGAGAACTCATTCTTTTTCTCCGCCACGCGTATTAATTACATCTTAAACTTTATTGATTTTACCTCGAGTATAGCAGTCGCCAAATCGTTTAAGAGGGCGACCAATATTCATAGAAGTATTTAGCGGTTTCTTTACCACAAGCACTCAAATTTTATTGTATTGTACTACCAACAACTATGTTAAAAGACTAATTTAGCATATTCTTTTAATTTTTTTCGCTGCCAATTTGAGAAAATTTCTCAATCCAGCTAAACAGAGATGTTTTCCACCTCTAATCGTATGTATTCCACCTACTAAATAACATTAATTAAAGGCTATGTATCGATATGATTTTTATCGTTTGGAACCGCCAAAATCAAAACAATCTATGATTATCTTCTAATTGTACATCCCTCTTTTATTCCATTACGTCGGATTTAAAAAAATTCACCATTAATTTTTTCCACCTAGATTGGCTATTCGTCCCACTGTGTGACGCTTGCGTGTCTGATGGGAATGGTCGTGTTTTCTGCATCGGTTCAAAAAATAAATATTGAAGTAAAAGTTAAAATCTTAAAAAATAAATCCTTAGATTTCTGATTTTCTTTGTGGAATATAATCTATATTTTTTGTTAGGACCAATGATCCTGATATACCATATATCTTTAATTATATAACATATTTTATGAGCCATAAACAAAGATGGCTTTAATACATATTAATAAACCTTCATCGACTATTCAAATATAGCCAGGGCCGAAAAATCGACCTGATCGCAGGCGAAGGTTTGATTGTAAATTACAAAAGTTTATGTTATTCAGAGTAAAAAGAACCTTGTTTGCCGTTCCAGAGCCGCTGCTTTCAAAAATGGCGGTTGATTTAAAGAATATTAGGTCTGTAATTTGAGGATCGAAACGGGAAATCCATTGCGAAAAATATGGGAAAAGTTTTTATTTTTTTAACTTGTATATATGGGTTTAGACATGTAAAAAACAAAATTGCTAACTCGGGCCACAAGCGAAAACTTTTTAACAAAGTCAGAATTGTTCGATATTTTTTTGTTTTTTCACTTATAACTCCTAAATGATGCATCAAAGAAAAAATGTACGTTTTAATAAATTAAAGAACGTTAAATTGTACTTCGAACGAGTACATAAACTTTATAATTTGGTTACCTGGTAAGGTATAAAACCACGGTCAACCAATGCTGATTTTTACAAAAACTGACACAAATTACTCTAAATGGCCCTGTAACCTGAAAATGAATTCCCTAAGAGGAAAAACCCATATAATTAAAGTTCTGGAGCATCAAATTTTGCGTCCAATGAGTACCAACTAATTTAATGTAGTTCACTTACTCTGAACAAAATCGGTAATTTCCCGAAGGTTGGAATTTGAAAATGACAGTATATGTGATTTTCAATATTTTAACAGTATGGGGTGTCTATTCTACTTACTTATTTTTGCTTAGAGGCTGTTACATGCTGTATAAGCCTCTTTACAACCTCTCAGCAGCGAAGAATTTCGATAAACGATGTGTCGAAAGATACCGAATTTCATAAAGGAAGAACGAATCCCGATTCGAGATATATAATTGACCTACAAAGAAAATATTAGTACCCAGCAGACGCAAAATTTGATGCTTTATGGGTTTTTCCTCTCAGGGAACTCATTTCCAAGTTACAGGGCCATTTATAGTAATTTGTGTCAGTTTTTGACAAATTTGGTAAAAATCAGCGTTGGTTGACCGTGGTTTTATACCTTAACAGGTAACCAAACTATGAAGTTTATGTATTCGTTCGACGCAAAATTTAACGTTCTTTAATTTATTAAAAATTAATTTTTTCTCTTTGACGCATCATTTAGGAGTTATAGGTGAAAAAACAAAAACATATCGAAAATTTCTGACATTTTTGGTTGTAAAAAGATTTCTCTTGGTGTTAGCAATTTTGTATTTTACATGTCTGAACCCATATTTACAAGTTAAAAAGATAAAAACTTATCCCATGTTTTTCTTAATGGATTTCCCGTTTCGATCCTCAAATTACAGACCTAATATTCTATAGATCAGCAGCCATTTTTGAAAGTAGCGGCTCTGGAACGGCAGACAAGGTTCTTTTTACTCAGAATAACATACGCTTTTGTACTTTACAATCAAACCTCCGCCTGCGATCAGGTCGATTTTTGGGCCCTAGCTCCAGGGCTAATAAGGTGAATAAAGAAATACAGTTGTAAATTTGTTCTTGGAGTTACCTATGAGAAAGGCACAGGTGAGCGGCGTCCTGGCGGCGTGCGGGTAGAGCAGGCCGACTAGGATGAGGCAAGAAGCGAAGAGGTCGGCGAGGGCGATGCTGCCGAGGAGCATGTAGGCGGCCCGCGGCTCTGCCCTGCCCAGCAGCAGCCCCGAGGAGAAGAGCACGGCCCCGTTGGCGACGGCCGCGGGCAGGCAGAGCGAGATGATGCCCCACGTGTAGGCCAGTCTCAGGGCGTCTTCTTCCATCGCTCTCCGGCAAGCGACTGTCTCTCTTCTCCGTCAATTACGTAACTTTATATCAGTTCCCCAGATAAGCATCGATATACCGAACGGTATGTCTTCGACACGAAAAGTAAATTGAATTAAGATCAGCAAATCGCATATTAAAATTATTACTACTACTATTATTCACTTTTCCAGGCCGTATTTATATTCACAGGCGTGTATATAAATTATAGCCCATGGTAGAGACCCCTTTTTACCAAAAAATTAACATCCGCCTGAAACTTCGTAAATATCTTCTTCTCATCGCACTAGCGGATCCAGGATTTAATTTTGGGGAGGGGCTTCAACCCGAAAGATTTTTTTTTTCATATACATGTAACGATAATTAATTTGAAAAAATGAAAGAAATTGACTACCTATATGAAATGGTGTTTAAGTGGTTCTTGAAGTCTTATTAAATGTAATTAAACGAACAAGAATACTTTCAGTGATAGTTTTTAATCTTTTTTTCTGTAAAACATGATTATATTTTACCGTTTCGGGGGAGGGGGGGGGGGGCTTCAGCCCGAAAGACCTCTCCCCCCCCCGGTAGATCCGCCTGTGTCCTGTGTCTCATCGTAACCTACAAATATTTTATTTTTCAATCTGCATTTTACCTTTTCAATCTGCAGATCGGCAAACTTTGTCTATTTAATTAAGTACTAAAAGCTCGTAAATTCCCATTTACTTTCCACTTGGATCATTCAGATGTATAGATTCAAGTATGTAGCCTGGTTGGCAGTTTGTACATGGTTTCACTAATTCAGCCTATCATATTCTCGTTTTTTATTCAATAAATAATTTAAATTAGAGTTAGAGTAGAAAATCTGACCAGCATTTTTTTTCTTGTTTATAGTCTCGTTTGGCTATAATCTTTTAAAATCAATATTTAGCATATAGTCCGTGGTACAGACCCCTTTTTATCAAATTATTAACATCCGCCGGACACTTCGTAAATATCTTCATCTCATCGTAACCTACAAATATTTTATTTATGAAAATTCTCGGAATTGGGGCATTTTCAATCTTAAAGTAGGCAAACTTTGTCTATTTTGTTAGGTTCTAAAAACTTGTAAATTCCCATTTGTTTTCCACTTGGATCGTAAGATAATTTTATCACTGTGGACTCCAAAAAAAGTGGATTTCAAAAATATTGAGCCGTTTGGCGTTATCTACACCTCCAAATTGTCAAAATAATGAGGTTATATATGTCAAACGGTCCAATATTTGTGTAGGTCACCTTTTATATCGATTTTGTGATCAAATTATCGGATAGATGTGAGGGAGAGTTGCACGGGAGGGAGGGTCTGGCCCACAGATTACCCTCTCCCACCAAATCTCTCTCCCTCGCTCCTTCGAAATGGTAAAATAAATAAATGTTTACTTCACTGACTCATATCAGTAAAGTTATTGAAGATAAAATTAGTAATTAAAGACAATTGCATATCAAACATGAAAAATATCTTAAAATTTTCGAAACTTTGAATACCTGTAATTCATAAACTATTTCATTTACCGACTCTGTTTTGGTCTTGAATTGTAGGATATTTAATCTAGTTTAAAAATTTATAGTGCAGTTTTGTCGAAAATGTGCTGCTTCAAGAATAAAATGGGAAAACCGAAAATATAGCAGATTTTGGGATATTCAAAAGTGATCCGGAAGTTCGCCGAGGTCGAAAACTTTTACATATCAGTCTCATCCCTTACAAGAAAATAAAAAGAAACCTTGTATCCACATTCAATGCAACTTACGATGTACAAAGTTACTGGGCTATTATAACACTTCTTATTTCCATTGGTTATAGTTTGGGGTATGGTAGAGATCCATGACTGGACTATAATAGAGGATTCAAGGGTGCTAATTTAAAATATTTTTTTTTTTTCAATGCTTTGAATTTGCTTTTATTAGTGATCTGAACTAAATACTTAAACAACCACCGCGTGTTCTCTTAAAAGGGCAGAATGACAGAGTGGACTAACGCGTGTGTAAAACAGTGTTGCCCAGTAACCTGATAAGCCGAAGATTACGAGTTCGAATCCCGGCGTCGAGATGAATTTTATTTCTGGCAATAATCCGCCACCCTTACATCTTTTCTTACAATTTGCTGAATAAAATTCTTAATCTTGAGGTAAAAATAATAAAACTGTTGAAAACTCAAAAGATTCATTACTGTGATGTTTATGAACAAAATGCAATGAAATAAGCCCTGGAACCAGGATCCAAAAACCGACCTGATCGCAGGGGAAGGTTAAAATGTAAATTACGAAAGTTTGCGTTATTATAATTAAAATTAACTTCGTCTGCCATTCCAGAGCCAATGCTTTCAAAAAATGGCAGCTGATTTAAAGAATAATAGACCAGTAAATTAAAGAATAAAACGAAAAATACATTACGAAAAGTGTGGGATTTTTTTAAAAATCTGGTTTATTTCTATATATGGGTTCAAAGATGTAAAAACATAATCTCTATCGCGGGTCACTAAGGGTAAACTTTTTACAGACAAAAAAAACTAGATTTTTTCGATCTTTTTTTGTTTTTACTTTCACTTACCTATATATGAAATATGTAGTAAGGGACAGTATTGCGATCGTGGAAATTTTCGAGTTTTCAACGGAAATACATGTTTTAAGCACTCCTGAGTCCAAATAACCAAGCCCCGCAAAATGGTCTATGTGTGTGTGTGTCTGTGTGTGTTTATGTATGTGGACAGTCTAGCTCAAAAACGAAAAGATGTACGAAAGTGAAATTTCATGTTTAAGGTTTGTATATACCTTGTATATTACGGCCACTTTTTCGTTAAAATCGGCTAACCGGAAGTGCCACTTTATATCAACGGTTATATACATTTTTACAATTTTCTCAAAAACGGCTTTAACGATTTTGATTAAACTCCGTGTAGCATAGTATAATTTAGTGGTCTTTAATATCATTTAGGTATTATCCCCATTTATGTCACTTTACAGGACTAAAGTGCCTTCAATATGGTTTATTTTAAAAAAATTAACTCTCTTTTATTGACAGTAAACATAAAAAATGGCTAAATATGAAGTTTGAAAGAATATGATGATTGGAAACTCGAGAAAAAAAGAAAAATACTTATCCAGGTTGAAAATGAATCTCCGGAAATAACAGTCAGAAGATATACCTATAATATATCGTTGGAAACCGGAGAATTTTAGCAAAAATAATGTCAAATAAATAGACTTGTAGAAGGTATCGGAGAGTGACAGAAAATAAATAATAATTTCAGAAAACTAACATTATTTAACGTAAATCACATGTTTCCAAGGATATTAAATGAAATTTTCTTTCAGGGTTAATGGCTGAATGTGATTTTTTTTAGCTACTCTAACAAGAAAGATGGCACATTTTTTTTTCAAATAGAACATTTAAGATTTAGGAAAATCTAGTAAATAAAAGAAAAAAAATCAAAATTAAATTGTTCTTTAAAATAATACATCAATTCCTAGTAAACTTGGCAAAAAGCTAAGAAGTGTTGCAGTTATAACTTCAATAACTTGTTATCCCTTTTGTTAATTTGCTTATATAAATCATCAGAAGATACAGGCGGATCTACGGGGAGGGAAAAGGGAACTGATTTTTCTCCAAAAGTATAATAATCATGTCTTATGAAAAAAATATCTCTAAAAGTATTATTGTTTATGTAATTATATTTAATAGGACTTCAATAATCACTTAAACACCATTTCATACAGGTAATTAGTTTCTTTCTTTTTCTTCCAAAGTCTTTATTGTTATATATATATATATATATATATATATATATATATATATATATATATATACATATAACAATACACAGGGTGCCCCGTAAGTAGAGGAAAATATTTAAAAGGTTGACAGTAGACATCAAGATCTACAAAAAAGTTTATATAAAGATTTGTCTAATTTCCAGCAGAAAAGTAGGAAATTTAAAATTTGTGTTTGCGTTTTGAGCGAATGGCGTTTTTTCTAGAATCAGCTAGAAAAAAAAAATTTAATTTTAAAATTAACAACTGCTCCATATTAAACTAATCAAAATTTGCTTTAAACGAAAGTAGAGTTTGTCATTTTTAAAACAATTTAAAGAGGACTATTGAACGGACAAACTCATCAAAGTTCCATTTAAAAAAAAGTTATAAATTATTTATGATTATTTTTATCACTCTTCAACTATACTACAGTTTCCCAATTTTAGACAAATTTCCGCGTTTAATAAGCTTTAAGTCTATATTAATTCAGTAGAGGTTTATTGGAAACATTTTGAGATTAACCTCAAGTTATATAAAGAAATGAAGTGATTGCACTCACCTTAAAGTACTTTAAGGTTTTCTGCAAAAATGACAACAACTAACTGTTGCAAAGCTTTTATTTCTTGTTTTTTTGTGATATGGGATGTATTATAATAAAAATAATTGTCTAAAAACATATTTTATTGATAATAATAAAAAATAATGATTTTTCAAACATATTTCATGTAACATTGTTATTATATTGTGTTTTTCTCCCATATTTCTGTCATAGAAATTGATACGTATTTATAAGTGACAAACTTTACGTTTCTAGCCCTAATATTTACGTTTTCTTGAAAATAATTGAAGCAATCAGTAGGCTTCTTAATTTTAAACCTAAATATTGTAAGAAACATTAAGTTTGTCACTGATAAATATATTCTCGCTGAAGGAGATAAACACAATTCATAACCACTTTACGTAAAAAATATTTGAAAAATTATTGTTTTAAAATATTTTATTTTTATGAATAAAATGTGATTTTAGCCTATTATTTTTATTACAATGCATCCCATATTGCATTTTATTCATAAAAATAAAAACAAATTACAATAATGATTTTTCAAATATTTTTACGTAAAGTGGTTATGAACTGTGTTTTTGTCTCAGATCTCTGTCAGTTAGAATGTATTTATCAGTGACAAACTTCATGTTTCTTACTAATATTTAGGTTTAAAATAAAGAAACCTACTGATTGCCTCAATTATTTTCAAAAAAACGTAAATATTAGGGCTAGAAACAAAATACGTGACAAACTTGAAATCTGACAGAAATGACACAAATCTGGAAGAAAAACACAATATCATAACAATCTTACATGAAATATATTTGAAAAATCATTATTTAAAATGTTTTATTATTATCAATAAAATGTGTTTTTAGGCAATTATTTTTATTATAATACATCCAATATCACAAAAAAAACAAGAAATAAAAGCTTTTCAGCAGTTAATTGTAGTCATTTTTGCAAAAAACAGGGGTGACGATTGAAAATCACTTCATTTCTTTACACAACTTGAGATGGATCTCAAAATTGTTCCCAATAAGCCTCTACTAAATTAATATGTACGTAAAGCTTATTAAACAAGAAAGTTTTTCTAAAAGTGAGATAAATGTACAGTTGAAGGATGTTAAAAAACAAATCAAAAATAATTTACGATTTTTTTAAAAACGGTACTTGGCTGTGTTTGTTCCCTCAGTAGTCTTCTTTAAATAGTTTGAAAATGACGAACTCCACTTTCGTTTAAAGTAAATTTTGTCTAGTTTATTATGAAGCAATGTTTGATTACAAAAATCAAATATTTTTAAGTTATGGCTATCTATTTAACAAAAAACGTGGCTTGCTTAAAAAAACACAGATTTCCTTTCATTTATACTTTAATTAATAGGGATTTAAAAGTTATCAAACGAAGAAGTTTTTGTAAAAGTGGGATATCTGTAGTACAGTTGGATGATGATAAAAAAAACAGTATGATTTTTCTAAAAACAGAGCTTAGGTTGGCTGCTCAAAAGTCATCTTCAAATGGTATTAACAATAATTAACTCTATTTTCATTTAAAATAAATTTTATATAGTTTACAATGAAGCATTAATAATTACATAAATTAAATATTTCTTTAGTCATAGCTTTCTATTCAACAAAAAACATGAACCTCATAGAAAACCACAAAACTTGGATTTCCTACTTTTCTGCTAAAAATTGGCCCATTGTTTATATGCACTATTTTTTTAGCTCTTGATATCTGTTATAAACATCCAGTTCTATAAAAATTCACTTCTGTCAGAAGCCAATAATGCTGCTTTGAAACTTTGTTTGCTGTAATTTGAAGATAGCACAGATGCCGTAAATCAGCATGTTCATTATTAAATTTATATTAAACTTATTTGGTCTGATGACTTGCCTGAAATGTATTTTCGCATTTAAAAAACAATTTATCAAGCACTTTTACTTATCTTGAAATTGCAATTAGGATTTTTTTTTTTTTTAATATAACAGTAGCAAACTACGCAGAAAAGATTTTTCAGCTTTAAGCAGAATTAAAAATGCCAGGAGGGCCTAAATCATAAGTTAAATTCTTCAGGTGCTCATAGAAAAATGAGTAAATTAGAAAACTAACTTTTCCAACACTGAAAATGAGTTGTAGAAAAAATCAATTTTTTTTTCTTTTTTTTAAAGTAAAGTATTTGAGTTTCAGCTAAAATAATAAATATAAACATTTTAAATACTGTTTAAACTATTATAATGTGTCCTTTTAAGACTTTTGTATAAAACGAACTGGCTTGTTCGGCAATTATTTTTTATTTTATTGTTTATAAATATTTTAGTTTTTTAAACTGAAATTTGTGACGCAATAGACCGAGTGAGAGAGAGAGAGATGTTAGGTTATTCTATCTATTGCAGTGCACTTAAAAATATTAGGTCTCAAACCAAATACTTAAGAAATAGATATATTGGAATATATGGAATAGATAACGTTCTATTCTACCTATATACTGCATCAACGATTTATTAAATATAAAATAGATAAACAGCCTGTGCCTTTAAGAAACTAATGTATTTAATTTAATCGGAAAGATTTGAAAAAAAGAAAGAATGGCAAAAAAATACCAGAAATTGGGACCTTAATATGTTGTCATCCTTTCATACACAACCAACAAAACAGATTTGTCAACATAAAAATTTATAAAATAATTTACTAAAAACTAAAATCTCTCTAAAAAAAATTAAAATATATAATAAAAACCGATCTGATGTAATCTTTTACTTAAATCTATTACTAATAGTTTTATTTAGTAAAGGTAAAGGAATAACTCCTTAAAAATATGTTTATGAAATTTTATGTTAAAAATTGTAGAGATGTATTGATGAGACCATTACAAAATTTTGCATTTACTTTAAAACAGTCTGGGTGAAATATACACATTATTTAAATAGAATTTTAGGAATATTTTTTCATGATTTCTGAGGTAGTATTATTTCTGAGATATGATTTGATGCTATTGTATTTTTCAACATCAATAAAATCTTAAAAATATATTTCTGTCTATGATTCAGTTTGCAAAAAAATGACATAGTAAAGCTTTATTTTAATAAGACAACTTCTAATAAAACATCCTTATTATTAATTAGAACATGTTTATTATTGTAATGACAATAACTGAATTTGATACTTACCTCCAAAATAAGCATCAGGGGAGAAAACAGGTGTTGTCCAAAACAGGTAAATAATAGAAAAACTTTATTCAATGTTGGACGTAGTCTTATATTTTCCCTTCTAGTTATTTTATCTAACTTATTTATAAAATGTTAAGTAACATTATCTTGAATGTTCAATCTGACAGAATTTTAGTGGTTTTTTATTATCCATTTTAACCTGCCAATTTCGAAAAACGTGTTTTTCTCCCTGTGGTTTTGACATACTTAATTTTTAATTACTACATCTTAATAATACTTTAATTTAGTATTATTATTTTGCAATATTCTTCTATTCTATTTTTTTTTTTTGCACATATGTTAGTCCGCAAGCCCACTCTACCACCATGACACTTGAATTTTTACTTAAAAGAGGTTTACCTGGATAAGGAGGAGAGAACCGCCCTGAGCCTCGCGTTCAAAGGGTACCCACCAACAGAGCCCTTTTTTTTCTTTTAAATTGAATAACAAAAAATTTTTTTATTGGGTCACAGATATAAATCTGCTCTTGGCCCCATGTGGTGTAGGTACACCAATGCTCAGAAAAACAAAAGGTGATACAACATGCATTCTTATGCATCCGTAAAAAGTTCATAAATAAAAAGGGCTTCTATAATTCTACAACAAGTCAATTAATAATGGTTTTATTTTTTATTTTTAAATCTCATATAATGATTGTACAAAATAATAACCCCTTTTCCTGAGTTAGCTGTTATTTTTATTTCTTCTTTGGTAGACAGTTAACTGATTTTAAAATCTAATTTAATAAAAGTTAGATTAAAGATAAACCTAGTAATTATTAACTTGTTGAAGACCAATATGCACTAAAGCGCTGAAAATCATAACTAATCTCAATCCAGTTGGTATGTTTAAACTTCCAGCATTTACTGAAACAGTCAGAAGATATATTTTAGCCAAGCTATAAATTCTTAACAACTCAATATTATATATTTTAATCAAATTATCACTTGATTCCTAACGTTTTGAAAAAAACAAAGTAAAAATTTCAATAATCTTAGAATTTAAATTAAATTAGTATCTCAGAATCAATATTCAATACAAATTAATTATTATGACAACTATATTAACAGTTTATAAGTCACTTGAGCTCATATTGTACTGGAGCCAAATACGTCAATTAGAATTTTGCAAATAATTTTATTAGGATCTACAAAAAAAAACATTTAAAAATGTGATGGGAAAATCCACCAATGAAAATAGCCGTTACAGATATGTCGGCAAAAGTCTGTACCAGTGACCATGTAATATTCATTAATTTTGAATCATTTTAACTTATCACATTTTTTGGCAGTATTTCAATATTATCTGAGGAATTGACTCCACCTAGTGAAAACAACATGAGTGAATATATGTATTATTTTTTTTAATTCAATAATTTTCTTTTTTATTGTACATTGAATTTTACATTTACTTTTTTTGTTACACTTAGATCTAAAACTTATTATTTTTAGGTGTGAATTAAAACTATAAGTTTATACACATTACTTTATCCACATATATAACATTATACTCATAAGTTTATCCAAATTACACCAATATATTATTTAGTGAGCATATGGCAAAATATTACTTGCTTTGACAATTCTTTAAGAAAAATTATTTCTAATTTTTCAATTTTTATTTTCCTATGTAGGAGCTCCATCTTTCACAATGAAGAAAATATTTATACCATAATACTAAAACTGATGTTTTACATTTGCAGATCTTACAGAAAATTCTTTTCCAAATGGGCACTGGTACATACGTATATTGTACATGTTTTTCCAAGTAAAAAACTGTTTTTTACTAAAAATAAAACTAACGAAATAGTAAATATCTAAAAGTATAAATATAAATTTGAAAAAAATCGTTTACAATGTTCAATACATTTACCCTATTAAAGAGTTAATGGCCAAATTGGTGATTTTTCAAACCAATTAATGACCTTGTAAGAGAGGGATGGAGCCTAAAAAAAAATTTTACATCAATACTGCCAAAATAAGTTCTGCAATGATGTAAAAAAAAAAATTATCTGATCTAATAAAAAACAAAACAAACAATTTGGTGTGGTCCGCACATCACACAACTTTCACTAACCATCCTCTTTTTAGCAGAAATAAGTATTTTCACAGAAAGTGAAGGGAAAGTAAATATTACAAACAGTACAAAATATTATTTAAAACAATTAATTACCATTTTCTTTTCATAGCCATAGAATACATTATATTAAGCCCTGTTAGAGAACATCAATGAAAATGAAAACTGCTTAATTTTACACTGATATAATTAATATAATCAAAATCGTTAAAGAAGTTTTTGAGAAAATCATAAAAATATGCAAAATCGAAAGTGCCACTTCGGGGTTGGCTAATTTTTACGAAAAAGTTTCTGTAACATCCCAGGCAGATATAAACCTTAAATATGCTATTTCAGTTTCATAGGACTTTTCGTTATTGAGCTTGATTGTTCACACACAGAGACCATTTTGCAAGAAGTTGTTATTTCGATTCAGAGGATCTTAAAACGTGTATTTCCATTGAAAACTCAGATTATAAATTGTTCACATTCATAATACTTTCCCTAACTATATATTTGGTATATAGGTAAGTGAAAGTAAAAAACAGCCAAAAAAATAAAACCTACAATTCAGGTTACAACAAAGGTAAATGGAGCATTGGAAGTAAATATTTTAATTAAGTTTGAAAAAAATCTAATTAACTTTTTCTAAGGTTTATTTGGTAGGTAGAGTAGATAAGAATTTTAATAAGTAGTAAACAGAAGAGTAGTTTCAATAAAATTAGTTGACGTTTGCCTTTGTTTGTATCAATGAAGTTCCAGTCTTGTGCCAATTTCCCAGATATGTTTTTAATTTACAGGTGAGTATCAGTAAAACCTACAGAGCGTTTAGTAGTTCTGGTCCACCAAGTTAGAATGATTGGCAGGTTGTCCTACTATGAGGAGCTATTGATCCAGAATTTAAAAATGGCTGCTACTATAAATTACAACTATTAAAGGTATCAGATAGACCACTTCTTAATAACTTGTTTTTATCTAAATAAATCCACTTAAGACAGGTCAATATTTAATATATTTAAATAAAAATAGCTAGGTGGTATTTCTATCTTGTTTGTAATTCAACGTAATGCTTAGCATTAGAAATAAAATTTAAAAGTAAATATAATAATGATGAGGTAAGGAGCCAATTAAAGTTTCATCTTTTTTTCATAATTTAATTCAACTATTTAGGAAACTAAAATGAATAAAGACATTTTCTCCCTTGATACTTTAGTAAAATCGATCTTAAAAATAAAAACATTCTTCTAATGTCAAAGTAAGTTTTGGGATTTGGTCTAACTTACCATATCACATTAAAATGAATTTTTATTTTCTACTTTGCAAGTTTTGATTATCTTTAGTTCAAAAAGACAGTTATCTTTAGTATAAAAAGAATTCTTTTTGTAACTATTCGACTTATTCGAAAACTTAAGCAAATATTCATGGCCCAGATCATATCACAGCTGACCAAAGAGTAACATTATAGCATTAGTACTAGCCTTTTAGCTTTGCATATTTTTCTGTTTAAAATTGGTATCATAACAATGACTATCACTTTTCTAATTAAACAATTTTAATTATCTTAAATTTGAAAATTTCTTTTTAGTTACAAAATTTAATTAAGATTGACTAATATACCTATGCAGAGATTAAGTTCCTCATGGTATCCTGGTGCACATTTACAATATCCTGACAAACAAAGAACTGAGTTTTGATAATATTCTCCAATAAAACATTGAGAATTGTTTCTGCACACTTCGTGTAGTCCTGAATAAAATAATTATTTCCATGAAAAACCAAAAAAAAAAACAACACAGATCTTTCACCAGTATTATCTTACACTAACTTACGTTTTGATGAAATACACCAATTTTCAAAATGATATCCAGGATAACAGAGACATTGTTCATTAAAACAATAGCTATTACCACCTAATCTTTCTTTACATTGGAAATCGTGTTCACATTTATCTTTAATTCTTTGTGCTGCTGTAAAAAACAAAAATAATTAACAGTAATATTTTATTTTTTTAATTATATTCATTGGATGTGAGGAAACATTCATATTTTACTTGGTAAACATTTAGTTTGCTGCGCATCTGGTACAAAGCCCCGTTCACATATACATTTGTCTTCTTTACAGATAGAATTGGGAAGAGTGGTACAGTCATATTTTGAATGACAGTGTGCTCCAATCACTAAAATTAACGAAATATCATGTTAGATTTATTAAAATTAAACCACATATATTTTATTGTTTTATTAAAGATAAATGAAAAAAGGAGTAGAAAAAATAACAGAGAAACTCATTTCCCTTATTACTTAATAAGAATGACAGTTAGTATTATAATAATGTAATAGAGTAATTCATATATTTCTTTGTTGGCATGAGGGTAAAACTAAGATAGGTAAACTATATACATTTTTAAAAAAAATAATAGTTTCTGCACTAAAAGCAGGACCACATTACTCTGTTTTCAATAACAGCCTTGATAATATGTGATAATGTAAAAATAGAATGGAATAAATAACTATGTAAATATTACTATTGAAACAGGCACACTATCTACCTCACCAATCTTTTGTTGCTGTTCATGATATTCTGTCAATCAATTGGTACAGCATTAGATCCATAAAGCAGTCCTAGCCAAAGTGGAAGTACTACTTGTTAGAACATCACATTTGCATATTATATGATAGGCATTCTAGAACTCCAGATCCAGTCAACCCAAAATTGCACAGGTGTTTATTCATAAAACAGTGCCCTTTATACATATCTGACATGCTTTGTGGACTAATTCTGTTCATATGTATAAGTATTGCACTTAACTTTGAAATGAGTTCTTCTAGAAACACCTTAAAATGCGTCTGTTTACCAATAGTGTTTTGTTCCCGTGGTATATGTTCTGAGCCCTTCTTCTCTAGGCTAACCATCAGCAGAATTCTAGTCATTCTTTTTTGAATATTCTATTATAGACAACCAGAAGAATATGACTTGTATAAAAAAATGAGGTCAATGTTATTTTGGAAAGGAAACAACTATTTCAGATATTAATAATAATAACTAGGGAAATTGAAAGAATAGAAGAACTCAAGAGGACTAGTGAATTTTTGGCATAACCTAATCATTTTAAAGAAAATATATCAAATGAAAAAGAATACTTACTTGCAACACATGATTCACCATCTTCACTGGGAAGAAAATTTTCTTTGCACTCACATATCTGTTGCATTTCACAATAACTGTTATCAACAAAACAATCATCATCATATTTGCATCTTTCTCCTATCAAATAAGCTGAAAATGATATTTAGTTTTCTGTATTAATATTTAATACAAACAAGTTCATCTTCATTAATGATACATGAAGTTAGATAATTACTTAACAGCCATGTCATTCAATTCAAACCCAAAGTATAGAGCTCAAATAACTTATATCAAAAATAACCCGTACAACTTTTGTTTTATTTTATTTTGTTATTATAAACTGCAAAGTCAAACTCAATACATGCTGTTAAAGACCAAGTAAATTTGTTTAAAAAATTGGAATTTATTAATTACTTGGAATTAAAATGGTTAAAACAGCATGCAATGAGAGTATAAATTTTCCTTTAGATTATGCCGACAAAAATATAAGTAAATATTATAGGGGTCTAAAGCTGGTGTTATAAACTAGGAAATTGCTGAAGGTCCTTCTGTATTTTGAAAATTCTTATATATAAATAACAAATCACTGGGATTTAAGGTGTTCTTCGTTAATTATTAAAGACTCATTTTAATTCCACATTATTTATAGAGTATTCTTTATTCTCTTCCGCAATCTGTGGTAATAGCTTTCTACTAATTAATAAATCTTGGATATTTAGAACCATTAAAATGCATCAGGCAATCCCATCTTTCAAGCTTCAAAGAATAATATTTCCTCCTTAACTCTTCTCTTGTGATCATTTAACATGACCTTCAATCCACTATTGATACATATAATTTATCTTTTATTATTTTATAATGTTTACTATTATATTATTCTATGATTTCTACAGAGCATCCATAGATGTTAACTGCAAAGGTAAATACAACAGTAATAGGAATGATCTTCAAAAATTAATACCCTTCATTCCTACCTTATTTCAAATGACTTCTTCTATTTCCATACCACCACAACTTTTGAAGGGTCAAGACTTCCTTTAATGTCGACCATCAGTCAATTGTCCTTCCGAAATTGCAGAAGTCCGAAATGGTTTAAGATCCATTGATCACTCAATCAGACCATGACATTTTGTTCTAACTACTCTTCATAACTAATATGCTATGTCATTCTACAGTGCCGGCCTTAGGATGGGACAACCAGGGCAAGTGCCCCCGGGGCACCGACCAAAAGGGATGCCAGTCAATCTTCAGGGGCACTTGCCAATTGTTAGAAATAAAAAAAATACATAACATATTAAAATAATTAATTTTAGCCTATCAATAAAACAACTGTATTAGATAAATGTTAAATGAAATTAAATTCAAATATTACATAATGTAAAACAACTTAATAAATAAATTTAATTTTTTGGGGGGGGAGGGAGGGAGATGACGTAATTGCCCAGGAAAGCAGAATGTCTAAGGCCATTACTGTCATGCCAAATGAATGTCTGATCACATATAGCGCACATTAAAAAAATCTTGAATTCATTCCCAACAAAGTATTCACTTGAAAAAATAGGCATGCAACATACCTTTCACTAAATTGCCCTTTATCACCTTCTTCCTTCCAAAATATACAGTCTCCTAGTTACTTCTCCAACCTTTTCCGATATTGACAATTGTTAGAATGTGACAATTCCTGTGATCGAATATCATTTTAAAATACTTCATTAATTACTTCACAAAGGCTGTTATGGCTTTCCTTCCTATATTCCCATTATGCCCTAGCATTTTTCCTATGTAATGTTAATTACATAACTTCGAACTTCTTCAGTTCAAGTCTTCTGTTAGTTCCAGCTTGTTCAGTTCTCATTCGCTAGATGATATGTTTTCTGATTCATCAGTTGATAAACTGTTACACTAATAAATCTTCTTGGTCTTGGATTTTTTTTTCTTTCATAGCCCTATGTTAATAAAAACTTCTCAGTTTTCAAGCATAATATTTTAATCATCTCATACTTGACTAGCCAGTTTTCTGACAGTTGTGAAGCTTTTCATCGTAATGCCTGAATTTCAAAGTGTATTTATTTTTCTTACGTTTTTAAATTTTGTAATTGTTTAGTATTTTTATTTTTGCTGAAGATTCAAATACCCAATGGTTATAATCCTACAGAAACAATTATCCATGAATAAATCAATAAATTATTGTTACTATATTTTGGAACTTGTTTCACAGTGAAATATTTTGCACAGTGAAATATTTCAAATCTCCCCTGAAAATTATATTAACTAGATTATATAACCTCTAGGAATATTCCCGACAACAATTTTTATATTTACTTATTTTTCTGATTATATTTTTTTCCATGTACACTATATTATGTTTATGCTTGCTTAGCTTATTTCAATGTAAGTAAACATCCAAAAATGAAATTCCTCTAGATTAACAAGAAATGCTATTTCTCTATTTGAAAATGTTCAAAATACAAGATTTGTACTGATTGGATAATATTATTTTTTCTTCAGTTTTAGAATGAGCATTGTTAAGTAAATGCCACTAGCTATTTTGGTTGGATTATTTAAATGGCAAAAATACATTCTCTAAAAAAATTCTAAACTAAATTGTTTCACTTTTTACACTATCCATTACCATAAACATATTCTGTTCAATATTATGTTAATTTTTCATCAAGGCTAGTCTATGGTAATTCTCCAAGATAAATCCTATCTCATGATCCTTTTATCCTAAATATGAATATCCAACATAATTTGAGGTGAATAATTTCAAAATTGGCTCAATCCATTTTCAAAAATTTCAAAGGAGACACTAAAAACATATGATTACGCCACATTTGACTTAGATAACTCGTTGGATTTGAACCCATTTTCATAATGGATTTAGGTGCTATTGGTCAACAGGGCTTTGCTAGGCAATGTAGTGCATTGTGAGAACTAGTAAAAAGTATAATGTAAAATTGTAAAGCATTTTGTGAGCCGGTTTTGAAATTATGTAATCGCCTTATTTATTTTTAAAATCTGCCTTAGTTCTCCTTATTTTTTACCTTTGAGAAAACTAAATTTAAAAACCAGTAGGAGTATACATAGTGACTCATAATGTAATAGCATCATAAGTGCAAAGTGTGAGACATTGATATCAAACTTGGAAAACTGATTTTTGAGGAAATGAGGCACAGTTTACACATACTGAATAAACCAATAGTGAGTCTCTTATCTGTAGATAGGAGGTGGGTGATAAGCAATGTAAAATCAAATTTAAAATGGCATCTAAAATATATGTTAAGTTGGTATCTAGTAATGGTGCTACTCGAACAAAGTGATCAAAAATGATTAATATTTTCAAAATAACTGAAAAATTAAATTCTCTGACTATTCTTTATAGAAAAAGACATTTAATTAGATAAAATATCATAAACTTTGAATATATTTCTATTGTAATCACTAATTTACTATATGTAAATACAAAATAATGAAACTATTTATTATACTATTTATAAATGTAATTAATGCCTTTATTGATGCCATAAAAACAAAGTTCTAACAAAATAAAGCAACTTACAAATACATTTTCAATATGTGAATCTAAAAATTACAGTTAAATTGAAATGGACCTTCAAATAATTTTCTCAATATTGTTAAGTAAAAATATCTACAAAAATAAACAAATATTTTGTTCAAGTTCACAATATTGATTATGGTTCAATAAATTAATTTAATTTTTATGTTTAATTGGTATTGAAATAACGAAATATTTTAATTTTAAAATATTTTATTTAGTCATAGTTTAGTCGGTAATCATGACTCAGTGGTTGCAATACTTTTTACAAATAATCCTAATCTTATCAGTTTTACTTTTTTTAAAGTAAAGATTAGATGGGAAGGCAGAGCTTTGGGACTAATAATGTTCAGAGGCACCTTTGCAGATCTCAACATGTATTTTTACCTTATTGTCTTGTCCTTGTTTTATTCAGTTAATTCTTTAACAGAAGTCAGTATTAAAAACAACACAACAGTCAGTCCACCAATTTCACAAAATATATACAGTACTCCAGTGACACCACCACATGTGCCTAATGCAGAAGTCAGAGCTGTTTCAACACCTATAAGTACTGAGGAACCAATTCTGAAAACTGACAAGGAAATCAAATTAAACATTAAACATAGCCTGTTGGAAGCATTGAATAAGCCTTTAGGTAATTATTTATTTATAATCAAGTTTACTACAGTTTATGTTTTTTTTTTTTTAAATATGGTTAATTTTCAACGAATATTCGACCCAAATATCAAGAAATTATAAATATACAAATATTTTATTTATAAGAAATTATTCAAGTTAAAAATATATTTACAAGTGATATTCAAGTAAGCCATTAAAGCACATATATATGGATCATTTCGAAATTTCAGTCTCATTTGATAATCAATTAAAAAAAAAAAAGAGTGAAATTGCTGTTGTTGTATTAAGAAATATATATATACATAACTTTTTTTTTCTCATAGTATGGAGTATGGGTTCTATTAATGTCAGATTATAGTCATTTAATGTTATACATGGTGGGTAAATAATTGTAAAGTTTAGTTTTGGTACTTTCAATTTTCTTCTTTATTTTGTTGAAGAATAGTCATCATATTATTATCTAAGAAAATTAATTGAAAAAAAATGTTACTTTCTACTGCAGCCAAATTTTTAAAAACTAGTTTTGTATTTTATATTACTAAAAGTAATTTAAGTTAAAATTAGTTTTAGGTAGTTCTTGTATAAATAGGACTGACTGCAGTGCACAGAACAACTCTGTTTGTCTCAATGGAGTTTGCAAGTGTGACAAAGACTTTGTAGCATCACCCAACAACAAGTCTTGTTTATCAAGTAAGTATAAAAACAATTACATTATAATGCTTTTTTTTGTTTAAAACGTTAAAATCTAGTACATTAGTTTGAATCAAATGTTAAATATTAAATTACAGAGGCTAAAGCACTAGGAGATGATTGCTGGGAGAATGTTCAATGTGACTCTATATATGGAGTAAGCGGTCTGGCTGTTTGTGCTTCGTTTCATTGTGTTTGCAGTCCTAATGCTGTTCTTAAAAATAATAAATGTTATAAGAAAACAGGTAAGCCATTTCTTTAAATAATGCACTAATCATATATTATTTAATATTAATCTTTATGAGATCTTTATGTTTATTAATCTTTTGAGTTTCGTGAGATTGTTATAGCATATAATTGACTGTTAAAATTATGAGGATGATAAATAATCATGATATGGAGTCTTTATATGGTTTATTAGGCCTACCGACTTTTTAACCTAAGGATGTGGATCATCAGGACAATGGTTACTTGCTAGACTAACAACAAGGATTCAGCTCTTGTTGAGTTCTAGTTGTTAGCCCTGATTCTTTGTGACCCTCTTTTGAGTTTTTAAAAACATGTCATTTCAAATAGTAAACAAGTTTCAATGGAAGGAAATGATGTGGGGTGGCGGTCATAAATAGGCTGAATAGTGATTATGATCGCCACCCGGACCATCTCCTTCCTTTATGCAATGGTCAACTATTAAATATTCAATAAACAAGTTTCAATTTTGGCATATGAATTATAAATAAAATACATTTGTTAGGATGATTAAATATGACAATAATATTAACGGTTAGAACAGTCATAAATACCAAATGTTGATATATCATATTACATACAATTCTCCAACTAAATACTGCTTTTGGAAGTTGGTAGTAGGCAGGCTGCATTAAAGTTTGTTCAAAACAGTAGTTGTTATGGCATTGCTGATTAGTTTTTGGAATTGTAGTTATATGAAACTGAATAATAATCATCCTAAAAAAAATAATTTCTTAATAGTTAACAATAAAAACTAAATTATTCTTCAGTATATTTGACCTAAATAAATGTTTATTTGAATAATTTTCATATGATATGATTCATAATAGAAAAAATATTAATTGGTTATTTTAATGAACTGATTAACACAATCTTTCAATAAAAAAGTGAATTGGATTTTCAATGTTAGTTTCACATATCAATTTCCTAGACCAACAATAAAATGTTGATTTCTTGAGTAATTTTTATATGTCTAAAATAAAATGTTACTCCACTAAACTATTATATATTTATACATAATCTAGCCATGATTTTTTTATATGGAAAGTTTTGATATTTTTCACATCAACATAGATAAATATTTATGTTTTTGAGATTGCTGAACATGGATTTGGGATGTGCCATCTCATCCCCCTCCCCCCTCCGCATTGAATCAAAAACATGATGAATTAGTTTTTTTCCATGTTGTAATGCTAAATATCATGGAAAATACCATTTTCAGAAAAAAATTGGATACTTTTATTAAAATAGTATTTTTTTTTTTAAATTTCAGCCCTAATATAGCTGTGTAAGTTTAGTAGTTCCTGAGATATAGTTGTTCAAAAATATCGAAATGGTCTCAAGACTATTCATGTTAGATAAAACTGGTGAAAGGGTGAAAAAAATCTGATCTACAGCACTTAAAGAATCTCGGGTTCAGTACTTTGTAAGGAAGTTTCTTGGGAGGTGATTTGACCAGATCATGCTCAACCACCAGGTTATTCCATTAATTGATTATTTCATTTTAGAGATACTGGGGGTATGCCCAGAGGGAGTCGCTAATCCTCAGGGTCAATCCACAACTGATATAACAGAAGAAATAATTATCTTTCACAGCCCTCCAGAAGCATCGAACCTGAAGCATAATAACACAGCGTCTTAATTACTCATTGAGCTATCCCATTCCCACTGTGAAATTATACAAATAGCAAAAGTTATACTAATGTCAATTAGTCATTTTTCTGAATCAGCTGAATTGATGACTCATTAATAATCAATTGTTTATAATTAAATCATGAATGATATGGATCAAATATTTAAACAATCATATGCGATCTTCTTAACTTATAATGCATGTATTTCAACTACCAAATGTAAACGCGTGTTTTAACATTTGATAAAAAAAAGTTATCATTATTGTTCCTGAAATTACCGTAATTTGGTCTTTTTTTTTTTCGCACTTTCATTAATTTATTCGCCCCTGTCAATTACAACTATCGACAATCAGTAGATGTACTGGCATAGTCATGAAAAATAAATAAAATAAAAAGGCTTGATAGGCATGAGGAAAAGCAATACGCAGCAGTACCCCTTCCATGGCTTTTATTTACTAAAACATTATTTAACACCACAGTTAAAAAAATAAATAAACATGTTATCCCCCAAATTAAATCCTGAGTCAGGTACTGATCTCGAGGTGCTTTCTCCATTCTTACCTAATGCTCTTATCACCTTCTTCACACCAAAGTTGAATAGTAACGGCGAGAGATCACGCCCCTCTCCCATCCTTCAATCTTTTCATACTTCAAAGACTTCAGAAACTCCTACATTGTATCAGGACTAGGCATTTTGAATAATTTGTACTCGCCTTCGTCAATATCACTAATGTCTCGTGGACTACCATATCAGTCATGAATTTCCACAGTATCTCACCTATTTCCCGTAGACCTCTATATCAGTCATGATTTTTCAAAGTATTTTTCCACATTATAGGCTGCTTTAGAAACGAAAAATAAGGACTGTACACTCTGAGATTAATCCTATTGTTTTTTCAACTCCTATTATCCTCCTCTTTTTAATCCTCCTTGATGGTCGCCTGATACATTTTCATAATACGGATACATCCGATTTATAAGTATATTGGCTATTGTCTTACAAATAATCGGGAAGAGTGCTTTGCTTCTGAAATTAGCAAAAGCTTGCAGCCTTTTTTAGGATAAGGTATATTAGGCTTGTTCTCTATTTGCATTCTCCCTCCTATATTTTTTGGATTAGTTGTAATAGCTTCACAACCAGCAGAAATGCTTCACCAAGACATCAAAAAAGAATATTCAAAAGGCATCTAAAAGCTATCTGCAATATGATGGCATGGTATTTCATTTCTTAAATTTTTCTGATGACTTTAATTTTATTAGTTCTTGTTTTGATAAATAAGTATAAAATATAATTAATTTTGGAGTAAAACTTTAAAATTATTTTTTCACGTCACTTCAAATATCTAGAAGTATACAATTTATATGTAAAATTATTAAAAAGCAATAAAGTAATTTAAAATGACGTTTACGTATATGTAACTTTTAGTTTTTTTCGCTTTTGGACTATGAATTACCTTATACAATACAGGTTATACATATTTAGAAGCTGTTGCATAGAACTGAATTCTATGCTTTTTAATCTGTTGCATAGAACTGAATTCTATGCTTTTTAACCTGTTACATTGCAAAGTTTACTGAGAAATAGCTCCTGAATCTACTTTACACCGTGCCGCTTTAAGACGAAACAAATCCAATGGAGTTCAGTCTAGACTTAAAAACATACAAATCAACAGCATCAAGTTTAAATCTCTAGACCTACTGATAAATTTTCTCATTTGGCCTAAAATGTAATGTAACTATAACCGGTCTGTACCAAATTTTGAGAAATAAATTCAAATTTCGATTAATTTCTTATTTAAAATAATCTGAAGCATTGTGCTATTGTATAATACAATTAAAACTTACGTAAACTCATTTTAGAATCTTTTGTGTTCATCAGTATTGAATATTTATCCTTTAAATGATGAAAAAAGGTGCTTCTCATCACCACAATTTTCGGAAATGAAAATTTGTTTAATTTTTAATTAGTTGTATATGAATGTGCATAGAGGTTCCTCGTAAGTTATAGCATTTTGAAATAACATATTTAATATTTTTTAATCTCACTTTTAAGAGCAGAATACTTAATTTTTTATCTGAAAAATAGCGAAACTTTCGTTCCATTTGAAATTAATATTATAAACTACATAGCTTTGGAAATAGTATCCATATTGGAAAAAATTAAATGAGGTAACTTAATAAGCACAATATTCACAAACAAATGTTGGGCGTTCAACAAATATTTCTAATCATATTTACTCATATTACTTGTTCTTGTTTCGACTAATTCTCCTTTTCCTAACTGCACTGATGTACAAACAGGCGTTTTATGTCATTTTCCTCAAAAATATTCATTTTCAATATTACAACTTTTGTTTCGCTAGAACATGAATCATCCCACTATAACCACGGTTTTAGAACTTCCATCATGTCTTCATCTGCTACTTTGTCTATATGAAAGATACTGTTGATGAGGGATAGCAAATAAAGCATTACTTGTCAGTTTTTCATGATTTTTTTATTGAACGCTGTATAATAAACAATAACGATGATTTTTATTCGAATACCATCTGCAGTTGTAAAAAATTCTACTTCAATTCGCTATGCCAGATTAATTTTAAAAAATCATAAAATTTACTCAAATATCGTGTTCGCCTTGGGACAACTTCTTTTAAGTTACCTATTTTCAAACTTCTTGTATCCATACTCCTAGAAAATATCTATTTTCTTTACTTTCCATTCGAATGAGATAGATCGATCACAGTTTTTATACGAATTCTTAGCTAAGGTTATGAACTTATATTATGACCCTGGTTATTTCGAATATGCTATCCAATTTTCATCGAGCAAAAGATGGCATTTAATTATTCGATTCAAGACGTTTTTAAGACATCTGGTTCAAGAGATCTTTAATACATCTTTTAGCCACCTAAAAAAAGTCATCGAGAAAGGGTAATCTGTTAGATATTTTTTAGATGCCTTTCAGATATTGATGCTGGGTAGGTTGTCTCTTAGGTTTTTCCACCACATTTTTAAACAGCTCTGGTGATAGACTATCTATTGCTGGGGACTTATTTAAAGTCGATAGCTACAGCTACTTCCACATCCACAACATCAATCTCTTGTGGGTGCTTTGAGTGATCGTTCACGGGTTTCCGTTGATTGAGAGTTTGCTGGAAATTTTCTATCCACTTTCAATATTTTCCTCCCTCCTTCCCATGTTTCTTTTTTTCGTGAGGCCGTAGAATTTGCACAAATTTCCAGTCTGCCATTGGTCCTCAATAGCTTACAACTTTTCTTTCAGAAATTCTTTTATTCGTATTTTTTCTTGCGGCTGTTTATTGCAATAGCTTGAGCAGTTTTGGCTTGACAGATTCCCATTTTTCTTCTATCCTCTACAGCCTTTTCTGTTATTCCACTTCTTGATATTTCATTCCTCATAAATACATGGATGGAGCTCTGATGTCTCTGAAACACCGGCAAGTGATCAATCTAGTGTTGTTTACCTTTAAAACTTACCGAGGTGTACTGGTAGATGTTCGAAATACATTCTTAATGACTTATTACTAACTATATTTTATAGGGAATGTTTTCTACAGACGTTTTTACATACCTGGTCAATTAGATAGTAAAATATTGGATTTTTATGAGCACATACTTTTTCGGTTGTTATTTTCATTCTATTTTAAGGTTTTAAAGAGTATGAAATCATAAATATTTTACAATTTTTAGTTTTTAGCTGAAAAAGTTTTAGGAATAGAAGGAAAAGAAGAGATGTTATCAGCCGTTTTAAAACTTATTTTAGTCCCTGAAAATGCCTATTTCAACTCCCATTTTAACCACCGACCAGGATGTCGTTTAATAGAACCAATTCATTTAGAATCCTCTATAACAGAGTCTCCAACCCAAAGCATAACTGCCGATATCTAAATTAGTCCTGGTGTGCAGTGATGTTCAGATAATCCTTATCCTGTTCTCTCCCTTCCAATTCAAGATAAGCATCTCTCATATCAGTACCCGAGTACATAGTTGCAGCTGCATGCTTTGAAACAAATTTGATAGTTTTTGTGTTATATTTTTATTCAAGAAAATACAAGTTGTCATAACCAATAACTATTTGTATTCGCGCTTGGAGTGTTAATTCTTACCATATAAAATACAGTGCAAAATAAAATTAATACTTTTTAAATAATGGTAATAATGCAAAATTTATTCCAGTCGAAACTATATATGCCGAATCTGGAGAACCCTCATTAGGGATGAGACGAATATATTTATCTACAAAGTATGTCTCCAAATTGAAAGCACGTCCACAACATCCCATAGGTACAAAACTATTTGATGGAGAGAGGGGGGGAGGGGTCTGAAATTCGGGGACTTAAGGATATAGAGGGAAGCGCATTTAAACAGATGATTTATAAAATCATATATAATGTGAACATGGATTTGAACACCGTTAGGCCCATTCCTAATCTCGAAACCCCTTACTGGAAGCAAAGTAAACCGAATATAGACATATCGATAAAGAGATCCAAAATTACTTTTGGTGTATTATTTTCAATAATGAACTATTGTAATCGAAAAAAAATTTTAAAAACTTAACCCGCTCTCAAAACTTGATAGCCTGCCGTCCGCGCATTTTCTCCGAAACTACTGGACCGATTTTTTTCAATTTGGATTTAAAATCAGAGAAGGATGATCCTCCTTCATCGATAGTACTACCCGCCTTTTTCTTTCAAGATCGTAGCTGAAAAACCTGCGTTGCTATAGATTGTAGCTCCTAAAGGAATGTACCTATTTCAATGAAACTTGGCTAAAGTTTTCTTCTTGATGCCCTTTAAATTTATTTATATAATATACTTCAATGAAAAAAAGCTGGAAAAAAAGTTACGAGGGATGATAAAATTAGATTCCGAATGACTCAAAAAGAATACACTTTTTTGTGGATATTGTGATAAGATGTTTCAAAGGTATTTAAATTTCCTAAAAAATTAAGAAAATTTCATCAAAATCAGAGCACTATTAGTAAAGATATCGCGATTTTAAAATATTTTTGGTTTATAATTTTCAATAAGGAACCATTTTAATCGAACAAAAAATTCAAAAACTTAACTACCTCTCAAAATTTAAGTTTTTATATTTCAGGATACGTAGAATTCGAAAAACAAATAACAATTTTTTTGTCTGACTGCCGTCCGCCATAAGCGCATGTTCTCCGAAACTACTGGACAGATTCTTTTCAAATTTGGATTTAAAATCAGAGTTCCCCCGAGGAAGATCCTCCTTCAACCTAAGTTACCAATCATAATATCAATAAACTGTACCACAGTAGAAGACTGGGAACACGAAACAAAAAAATAAGTTGTGGATGATTGGGAAAACGAATGGAAAACGTTGAGGGACCTCCCTCCAGAAATGACGTTGGCGAAACCCCTAAATAGCAGGACAATTTAATGTTTACTGAACAAATTATTGCTACATTAATAATGAACATATAACTGAGGACTCATAAAGACTTGAAAATGGCCTTGAGTATGGTCGAAACGTCGTAATTAATAGTTTATCAATAAAAGATTGGTGATAATTGGGCTAATTTAAGTAAAAAATAAAACCTCAAGACACCAATTTTAGGAAAAATGAACAGAAAAAATTGGTCTTGACTCCTTTTAAGTTCAGAATCGGCCATGCATCACTTGAACTTTTTTGTTGGAAATTTTGTCTAAAACCAGCCTCCAGAGTTTGGCTATTAAGAACTGAGAAACCCTGTACATTAATAACCTAAATACTACCGCTTTAAATAATAATGAATAATCATGTTTGTTACTTTTGATTTAATTAAGTTGGAGTGATTATATGTTATTTTTATTATTTAATTATGTTATTGCAATTATTTAATTTTATTTTTTCATTAGTTTTAGGAAAATCTTGCAGAGAAGATAGTGATTGTGTTTCAATTCAATATTCCTTTTGCTATCAACAAGTTTGTGCTTGTGATCCAGATTTTTTCCCTGACATTACTGGAACTCAGTGTTTTCCATTTTCAAGAGGTAATGTAAAAAGCAAGAAACGCATAAAATAAACAATTTATTTCAGTTGTATTAAAATAAGCCTAATATATTTCTATTAATTCTGTTATAACAGGAACCAGCAACATGACTAATATAAATTGCAAAGTTTCAAGTTTGGTTTGTAAAGTATTAGGAGAGCACGCATACTGCTCGAACGATTCATGTGTTTGCTATCCAGGGTATCATCTTAAGGAGGGCTTCTGTGTAGAAGTAAAAAGTAAGCAATATATTTTAATAATAAAAAAAAGATGATTAATAAACGAATCTCTCCCTGAAACTAGTAGTATGAAATTATCATTGACAAAGGAGGAGGGGAAGGAAGGAAGGGTACATTAATGGGTTTCCATTTCAATCAAATTTATTTTTATTTATTTTGGCGAATCTAACAGAAAAAATATTAGAAATATGCTCTGGCGTTCGTTCCAATGAGAGTTAGAAGCCGAGAAAAATGAATTATTTAAATAATTTTTTTTTTACCTTTGTATTGTCAATATTCCTGAGTTATTATTAGAGCTCACCTACATTTTTCTTTTAATGGAACAACAGAATTCTCAACAGATCAATACCAATCTTCGATAGTAGATTTGAAATGGAAAATTGTTTAGGTTTTGATTTATTTTTCAATTTTGCATTCAAATAAATCTTTATTGTCATTTTGCACTAAACTTGATCTTTATTGGTATTTTGCACCTAACTAGATCCTTTTTCTTTTTTTTTTTTTTTTTTTTTTTGGCAATTTCGCAAAAGAACAAACATGTTCTGTAGTTTGGAAAAAGGATCGATTTTGGGGTCTTCATTCAGAGTTTAATTTAGATGAATCTATTATGTATGATTTTACGCTATACTAAATATTTAATTATATCAATTTATTTCGAACATTAAAAAAAAAATTAAAACTCTTGTATGATCCAAATATTTATTTAGAAAAATTCAATAACTAATATCCAAGCAGAGAGATGGACCATAACCGATGTTGTTCAACTTGGCCCTGTAGAAGAGAATAAGAGCAGCATCACCGGAAAATGAAACATAAAATCCTTGAATAAGCAGGTGATATAGCTATCCTTAGAAGTTATCGACAGAACAATGATAAACTCGCTAAGACTCGGACAAGTGAGGCAGAGCAGATCGGCCTTCAAGTAAATGAAGACAAAACAAAATGTATGATAATAAGCAGAAAATTCCATCCCAATAACAGGATCTGTGTAGAAGGAAATCTCTCCCAAGAGTAGACAAATTCAAATATAATAACCTCAATGAATGACCAACGGGCAGAAATAAACCAGCTATCACAAACAGAACTTTCTTCTCCCTTTCAAAGGTATTTTAATCCCCCCAAAAAACTCAAGAAATCGCAAATTCAGAGTGTACAACGCTATGATAAATCCAGTTCTAACATATGGCTGTGAGACTTGGGCACTAACCATAACTTATAATTACTGTTATTATCATCATATTATCTCCCCTTTATCAGTTTGCCGAGCAACGCATTTTTTCCACACGCGGTAGACCGCTCGGTCACTATGCCTCCGAAACCACACTTAACACTGAAAGGCATTACTGGTGGTCCTAAACTGTTATTTAATAAGATAATTAATTTGATGAAGTAATGAAATTCGTCATGTTAACTAACCCATCGAATATAACTAATAGTTGTTGTTACAGTTATTCTCTTTTATTTCACATATGGCAAACACACTTTTATGGATAAAACCTTAATTAATTACTATCTACTAAAAATTCACGAATCTTACGAAAAGATGTTCTGTAGATATGAAAATTTGACCACAAATTAGCCTAAAATTGATATAGTAAAATAGGATAATATAGTGAATTCGATTAATTATATTTAATATATTATTTAACTATACCGTTAGCTAATATGTATTTTTTAATTTCGTTTTGGTATATAATTAGTATGATCCGTCTTTCGCAATTCAAAATTCTTCTGCATAGTATCCCACTCTGTCCATTATAATTTGTCCTACTTTTCGTCGCAAGTCCCTCATATCCTCGGCTTAGCAGCTGAATTAAGGATACTTATTAATTATTAGTTGAATATACTAATTTAATTTATTAGCATATGAAAATACTACAATCAAACTCTTGAATGTTATAGGTTTAGGTGAATCCTGTGAAAATAACAGTGATTGCGAAGTAGATATGCAACCGAATGAAAAACCAGGTGCAAGAGAATGTAAAAACAATAAATGTGTATGTGCCAAAGGTTACAAAGGAATTCCAGAGAGCAACATATGCCAAAGTAAGTATGTGCTACCCATGGTGAAATTTATTTATTTATTATCTTAAAAACTAACAATTTATTCGCAATAAAGGAAATTTGTATAAACTTAATTTTTTTTAAATTACCAAATAAGATGTACCATTAAACATTCAATTTATATTACTTTTTTTTCTGTTGTTCACTTCCTCGTGTTTTAAGCTGTGTGGGGTTTTTCGAACCAGAGGGTGAGGGCGAGGAATTAATGCCAAGTTAAAAGACTCCCTTTAGAAAAGAGACCGGGATGCGATCCCGCAATTATTTTATTTCTTACAACTTCGGTTATCAGGCTGCTGGGCAACGAGCGGTAACCAATTGATTTATTAATTTTCTATCTATCAATTTCTAAAATCAAACCTTTAGTGGTAGAACCAAAAAAAGGGAGGGGGGTTAGAACCGAATCCTATGACAAACAAGATTACACAATATCTATTTTATGTACTAGCGATGGGGGAGGTGTCGGCGAGCCGGTTAATGTGTTGCCCGCCAATCTGATGAACCGAAGATTACGAGTCGGATCACGATGCCGGGGTTGCTTTTACCGTTGTATTCTTCTCGGGCCCGCGAAAAAAAGCGGATAGTCGAAGATGTGATGGAAACAAAAATGTACCAGGAATGCGTAAGATTATATCAATCTGATACTTGTACTAGATACTTAGCAATAATTAACACAGTCAAAATGGTACTGATGGAAATATTATTAATGGATATATTAATGCTTATTTATATTGTCATTTGTCGTATACCTCTCGAATACTTAAAAAAAAAAAAATGTTTTACTAATTGTTATGTATATATATATATATATATATATATATATATATATATATATATATATATATATATATATATATATATATATATATATATATCGTTTACTAATCTATTATTATATTAGTCATACTTAATTCTGTGGACATTGTTAATGTTATGTTTGAATGCAGTACTAGGCTCAAGATCTAACATTGTTAATTATACCATTATATTTATTTGTACAGGAATTTCTTTAGACAAATAAAATAAACTATCTATCTATCTATCTATGGACACCAATGGAAATGTTCATGTATCAGACTACATGTATGAAATCATGAATCCAGACTCACATATTATTTATCACAATTATTTGCATGGTACCCACTGTTAATAAGCAGATAATTCTCCAATTCTATTATTTCAACGTTTCTCCAACATATCTCCTGCAGGCTGCCACATCAATTTTATATTTATCAAGCTACTTCTCCAATCGCTTGTTATATCCGGGTCGGTTTAACCCTCTTACATGCTATATTAAGTCTATAGAATAAATGAATAGGGTATTAAAAAAATAAATTAGGAATAATTCATGGTTTTATGAAAAACTGAACTTGGCATAGTTTGGTCGTTTACAAATCATCTTTAACAAAGACAAACTTTACTTGTTTTTTTAAAGTAATTTTTTTCTAGTTTACTAAGAAATAATTATTAATTACATAAATTAAATATTTGTTTATTTACCAAACGCTTATTTTTACCAAATTTGTCAAAAACTGAGACAAATTACTATAAACGGCTACGCATCTTAGCAATGAGTTCTTTAATAGACAAACTCATAGAATAAAATTTGTAGAGCATAAAATTTCGTATCCATTGACAAGGAGAGGATAAAGTCTCTCTGTGGGTCCCCTATTTCAATCAATTTTTTCTGATGATACTTATCGAGTATGATATCTAGCCGAGAAAAAAAAAAATGTGTATAACTTCAAACGAAATTTATATTATTTACTTTTGCCTTTGCTTTATCTGGGTTTTTAGGTTATTATATACCAACCGTTTTTGTGTTGTTTTTTTGTGCAAATTAATAAAAAAATATTAACAATTGTATTAAATGAGTTATAACGTATCATAAATTACAAAAACCGAAAGGGGCTTCCAGTAAAGTAGGGCAAATAAATTTTTGTTATGAAAAAGCAAATTATATTCCTTTTTAGGGCCTTTTAAAACTCTTAAATACTAATTGTTAAATAAATAAAAAAAAATACAATTTTAACCTAGGCGAAAATTTCGATCAGAAAATTTTAATTTTCCGATTGCTATAAAAATTTGTGTTTAAGGTTTGTTGAGGTGCGAAAAACAAACATCAACTTTGTTTCTCCCTAAAAAATTATTTACTCTAGATATCAGAGAGATCTTTTAATGAATATTACATTTGGCAGATAGCTACAGCAGGCATATTGCTATATTCCTATTCGGGAATGAAGGATTGGTTTTTTACCGTTCCAACAATTTTTCGGTTATGTACAGGTAGGCGAAAATGGGGAAACGGTTTAGAAAATTTTACGAATTTTCAAACACTTTTCCTCTTTTATATCGTGAATGGAGTACGGTTTTCACCGTTCCAACAATCACATAACAACTATTCACTGGGTGGCCAATGGAAACATGAAAGTGTACAAATTTTCGAATTTTCATTCGCATTTTCTATTTTACCTCGGGAATGAAGGATCGGTTTTTTACCATTCCATCAGTTTTCCGGCTGTGTAGAGGTAGGTGAAAATGGGAAATGGTGTTGATAATTTTCGAACTTTTCTTTCGCTATTTCTTTTATATCTCGTGAACGAATGATCGGTTTCTTACTTGTCCAACCATTTTTCAGTTAGGTAGAGATAAGTGAAAGTGAGGAAATGGTGTTAAATTTTTCTGAATTTTCATTCGCTTCTCCTTTTTTATATCGAGAATAAAGGATAGGTTAATCACCATTCCAACAGCTTTCCGGCTATGTAAAGGTAGGCGAAAATGTGGAAATGGTGTAACTGGTAATTTTAATTTTAAAATAATTTGCGTATAAATAAATATTGTTCAAATTTATTTTTGAGATTAAAAATATAATTTTATATATGAGACTAAAATCTAAATTGAGATAAATATAAATGGTTATAGCCGAATAGCAAGTCTCAAGAATAAATTTGAGAATATTTATTTATAAGAAAATTAACGTAGAATTAAAAATGTCAAATTAGGCGAATGTCACCTACAATACATGCGTTCAAAACTTATAAATGAGTAATCAATATTTCATCATCCATTACCGATTCACCATTTCCTCATTGTCGCCTTCCTTTAAGTAGCCGGAAAACTGTTGGAACGGTGATAAACCGATCTTTATTCTCGAGATAAAAAAGAAAAGCAAATGAAAAATCAGAAAAATGTTTACACTATTTCCTCATAATTGGAAAAGTAAGAAACCAATCATTCGTTCGAGAGATAAAAGAGAAAAAGCGAAAGAAGATTCGGAACGGTATCAGTATCATTTCTCCATTTTCGCCTACCTCTTTATTTATAATTTATACTATTCCTGGTTCCATTGACCTGCCTCTAAACAGTTTTAAAATTGTTGAAAATCTGTGCATCCATTCACGATATAAAAGAGAAAAAGAGTATGAAAATTCTTAAAATTGTCTACACCATTTTCGCCAAACTTTGCATAGGCGAAAACTCGTTGATACGATCTCTAGCACCCATCCATTTTTATGTAGAGATTTTATCGCATTTCCCGCGGCAAATTTGAAACAACTAAGAGTTCATCTCACTGCGTCAAACCTTTGAAGAAAAATATGCAATATATTCCAATTGCTTTTTAACGTATTTTCAAATATATCCGTACGTAAAAAAAATTACTAATATTTGATCATTTATATATATAGTTAAGCAACGCCGAGCGTGGCTAGCACTTGGATGGGTGACCATCCACCAAGGAAAGCCACGCTGCCAGAGATTCCTCCCTCCCCCTCCTCCCGGGGTATGTAGGGATGTAAATTAATAAATATTGGAATATATTACACAAATTCTAAATAATTTCTAAGATGATGATTTGTGATCAAAAAAGTGAATTTAAAAAATGTCATTGTGTTTTCACCACTCTCTTTCTTTCCCCCGCATCACCAATTTACAAAATACAAGTCGTTAATGAAAAGAATGATAAGTTTTTCTAGCAAATTTGTCACAAAACATCCGTTTTTCACTTTTCCAAAAATACTGAATTCTCTATAGATTTTCCCATTTATAATCTGTGGACAAAATTGAATTCTTTTTCCAATCATATTTATACAAGTGATTGAAAATAGATATTCATATATGTGTATATACAAGCCTCATCTTTCTTACATTCCATACAATTTACACTATTAAAAATAGCCTGTACATTAAATTTAAATTTTAGATGAAATTTTAATATTTATGTTTACAAATGATTTTCAGGTGGATCATCTATCTTAAGTCAAAGTCTTCTTTTGATATTGAGCTGCTTATTTTTCTTATTGAAATAATATATACAAATATGTGTAAGTGTTGATTTTTATAGAATTATACTACAAAATGTCGTGTTGCTCATTAAATATTTATTAGTAGCTTACAATGTAATTTTTTTTTTAAATGCTTCTACACTCAAATAAGGTTTTTAGTATTTTGTTAAACAATAGGTTTCTGAATTGAAATGGCATTTCCTTTATAAATAAAATTAATTGTAATAATATTTCAAGGAAACATTTCGATAATCTTAATATTTTATATTAAAAAGATATGATGCCTGTACAACCACTGTTATGGTGTAAATCCACTGTATAGTACTTATATAAGTTGATATAAGAATGTAATGTACAATTGAATCGGTTATTTCAGAAACAACAAATCTGACATTTTTACAGCTTTGAAAACTATGCAAAAATTATTCTATACTGAAGTTTACATAGATTAAAATGTACAAACAAATTATTTGTTTTTTGCATTTAAATATGGTTCTATGAATAACATACCCAGGACAAGTTTCTATGCAAAGCCTATAAAAATCAATCATATCCTGTTTCTGAAGTACTTAATTCAATTAAGGATTAAATAAAAAGATTTTTTTGGAATGCTCATTTATTTTAGTGGAACAAGCAAGAGTTTAGGCCTACCCTGCTCTGAAAGCCTCAAATGTGTTTTGTCATTGCACTTTCATAATTTTGTTTTTTCAAATATCTAATGTTTCATATATTTTTTTATTATGTTCCTTTGTGAATATTTAAAATCCATGTCATATTTCTAACTATTTACATCTTTTTGTCTTTATTTAGTATTCTTGAGATATATATTAAAAAAAAAAATTGCTACAATTAAATTATTTAACAATTCTTGTATAGATTATGCTTCATTATTACCCTATAACTATATAATATTTGGTAATTTAATAAAAAGAGTAGTTTAGTAAATCAAAAGAAGAAAATTTTATTTTTAAGTTTTTCACATGTAGTCCGTACCTTATTCTTCCTCGAAAACTTTAGTGCCGTCAAGCATGGCGTATAGTCAGTATCATAATTATTTATTAAATTGGTACAAATACATTACATTTCTTGCAATATTTAATTTTATATATGTGTATATAATTTAAGTTGTTTAGATAAGTACAAATGTTTTTCTATCAACAGTTGTTTTCAATGATGTAATGTTTTCATGAGAACTAATTATAAAATAAAGATGATATTTATGTTGCAATTAATTCTTTAACATCTCTCTAGACCGCTATTTTAGTATGTATTTTATAAATGCTTTAAAAGACAATAATCATCTGAGCTAACCACTTTTACCTCTCATATCCCATGATTTTTAACTTATAATATATGATTGAATTTCATCATTCATAAAAAGATTCATCAACTTTTCATAAAAGGTCTTTTTAAAGTGAAAAATATATATTATTAAATGCGATCACCACTTTCATCTGAATAGAAACTAAATATTAAAATGAGTGGAAAAACAAGTTTGTAAACATGACTTGAATTATTAGATAAATAATTTGTTTTCCATACATGCAGGGTAATAAGGTAATAAAAAGATGTTTAAAGGACAAGTATTGTTCATTGATCATTTTAATAAAGCGATTGAATTTTTTTGCATTTTCATTTATAAATCCGCATCTGTCAATTACAAGTATCGATAATCAGTAAGATGGGCTGGCATTATCCATAAGATGAGAAATAAATAAAAACTAATTAAATTAAGTGTAGAATGGCAGCAATTAAGTGTAATGTACACTAATACATTATGTGAAAAAGCTCCTTTGATCTTCTGTTCCACAATTCTCCTTTATTATTATATAATTTTAATTTACATGAAAATTTCGGCCTTTAGCCATCTGAAAAATTCAGTATATCTGAAAAATGTTTCAACACAAATTGTGCTTAACAAATAAATTTTTACATATATCTCTAATAATCTTTCAAAATATAATCAATAAAAATTACCTGCTTCCTAATTATCACAATTCTTTATAAATCAAAAACTTTTCTATTCATGATTATTGCTTGCCTGTCTGTTGGTATGATATTCCCTGTAGGTAGGGGTGGGTCAATGGAACTGGATTGGGAAAGGGAACTTAATCTTACTGTGGAACGGAAGGGGACTGTTCCAACGACTGAGAATTATCGATACCGCCGGTTCGATAAGGAGTGGGGATACCGGTTCGATAAGGAACGGAGGAACAGTTGGCAAATCGTTCCAGACCCGTTCCAGCTGGATCGATAAGGAGTGGGGAAGAACGGTTGGCAAATCGTTCCAGACCAGTTCCAATTCTGTTCCAGCTGGATCGATATGGAGTGGGGAGGAACGGTTTGTAACTCATTCCAGACCAGTTCCAATTCTGTTCCAGCTGGATCGATAAGGAGTGGGGAGGAACGATTGGCAACTCGTTCCAATTCTGTTCCAGCGGGATCGATAAGGAGTGGGGAGGCCGGTTAAATAAGGAACGGAGAAATGGAAACTCCTGTTATTTAAATAATTATCTTATTTTAATTATGTCTTTCACTATTTTAAAAATAAACTTATTTACGAAAATATTAAATGATACTAGTTCTAAAATGTTTAAAACCATAAACACAAAAATTTGGTAATCTTAATTATCCTAAAAACAGGAGTGCATGAAACTTTTTACATTTTTATTTTAACATATAATAGTACATTACCATAAGTAGCATCTACGTTTCCACTAATTTTGTTTTGTACATATTTTCTTAAAAGCATTTGTAACAAACCATATATATTATTTTTAAAAATGAAAAAAATATTGTAATTTGTAAAATACTTTGCCTGTAATTATTAATTGACTTATATTGATTTCTTCTTAATAATTCTGTTTCGAAACATATAAATGATGTTGCAACAAAGAAGCCAAAACATATAGAAACGAATCCTTTAAAAAATTGTTTATATTATTAAAAATATATTAGTACTTGTTAATATTACTTCTACAATTTTATTAGAAAAAAAATCGCAATCTTTAGACGCCAACATTTATCCTTGTAATTAGTTTTCTTTACTAACGTTACTTTTAGGTTAATTTTCTTTAATTTTAATTAATTTTCTTTGTTTTATTTAGATTATTTGCAATATGACTGTAACCATATAATTGGATTTTCAATCTTGTAAAAATCAAAATATAAAATTTATTATTTTAAATGTTTTATTCATATTAATGTTACATTTCACATAAACGTTAAATGTTATATTTTATATTAATTAAATTGAAGCTTATGCCACATTTTAAAGTAAATGAACAAAGAATAGAGCTCAAATAAATTTTCCTTTAGTCTGAAGTCGCTGAACTATCGATACTACCGACAGTTTTTCATCGATAGTGCAAAACTATTGATACTACCGCTAATTTTTCATCGATAGTGGAAAACTATCGATATCTCCCATGCCTAGGTTATAAATTCTGGAGTAACGGCTTTGGAACGGTATCGATAATTTGGAGCAGCTCCGTTTGGGGAATGGAACGGATTGGAACAGGTACACTAAAAATCTGTAACTACCCATCCCTACCTGTAGGGAAAAACTGGTTTAAATTTTATTAGAGGAATTTGGCAAAGTGGCTTCAACAAATAATTGATGTAAAATAATTAATAGTTATATTATTGTTCGGATTGTTGGCTGTGGAAAGCCAATATACTGAACTACAAAAGCAAAATATTATATTTAAATCTAAAGGACATTACATTAAATTGTTAGAACTTTATGTACAGCAATGTGAATAACTTATAATTAATCCTTTACAAATTATACCTTTGTAATAAAAATCTTTATATTATAAAATTATTCTTGTCAAAATAAAAAATTGAACAAGTAGAAGCCTTCAAGGCAAAAAGAATTCAACCACTATTTACTTCCTTAGAAATAGAACTCCAGTTGTGACGATAAAAAAAAATTGTTACATTAATTCTCCTTTATCATTTTTTTTTTCATAAAAAAAACATATTTATAAAATCTTAAAGGATAACAGTTTTATTATATTTTAAACTATGTGCAATTATCAAATTTAATTTAGAAAATTAGAATTTTGGAAATTAAAAGACACATTTCTGGCCTCCTTTTTTTTACCAAATAGTTAAAATAATACTATCCATACATCGTCGATGTTTCTAGTTTGAATTCAACAATTAGTGAAATAAATGCAATTTAATTTTCTATATAAATGTATTTTTGCCGTCAATATTTTTTAAAAATTATTTATTTAATAATTTTTGTTAGTGCCTTAACATAAATTATTATGAATGTGGTAGATGAGGCATTATACTATTTCTGTGTTATCACTTCCGCTTCTCATATATCCAGGATGATATTATATAACAACCTCATATGTTCTTTCCCACGATATTCGGACAATTCCGATGGTGCATTATCTGAACCTTATAGTTTTCTAGGTACTTTATTTCCTCTTAAACATCTTCTATGACAGCAGGTTACAGGTTACTAGTTGACGTATGCTACCTCACTACTTTAACATAAGGGGTGCTATCACTCAAAACGTGGAAGTAACATTTCCACTAACCCATAATTGGGCTTTCGTTAATACCAGATTACTTTCATTGTCCTTAAATGCATTGGTCTGGGACTTGAACAGAGACGAGGAACACCTTTAGTTGATGTAGTAATATAATTTCCATATTTCATTTTGAATTCTCATATTCTATCTCCTCCAATCGATCCTTCCATCCCACGTATCTTCATTTCTCCTGGTTCGGTATTCTTCTACTAAATCTTTTGTGTGCCCTGATTGGTTCATCTTCCAGTATGTATCATTTTTATTACTAATCATGTTCTTATCTTACTAATCTATTGTGAAGCATTTCCTATTTTCATGATCTTTAAAACTCTCAACGTTAAACCTTAATACCGTAAAATCTCTTTATGCTACAAAATCTATTGTCCTCTGTTCATTCTCTTTAGTGTTATTATGAAAACTGTAGTGGATTTTTAATTGTATGCATTGAAGGTAACATAATCTGAGATTCGCAAGTACTACAACCTACAATTGGTACTATTTTTTCAACTCATAAAATCTTTATCTATTGATCTGGTGTTCAAAATGTGAATATTCTGATCCGAGAGCCATTTGGACTTTGTACAAACGTTTTTAAAAGCATTTGATGATGTCCTTAACGCTCACTCTGTCTCCTGTTCCTTCTCATCCCCATCTCCTGTGACCATACCGGCTCCTATATGTTTCCCTTATAATTTTAATTGTGATCACTTTTTTGTCTCCCATATTAACTCCTCAACTCCATAACATCCCAGTCAGACTGGTCAAAGCCTCAATACCATCCATCCTTCCAATCCTCTACCATATTTACATTACTCACTTCATTAAAATTAAAAGGGAAACATATAGGAACCGGTATGGTCACAGGAGATGAGGATGAGAAGGGACAGGAGACAAAGTGACCGTTAAGGTCATCAGCAGATAAGGAAATTAACTGAAGGAAAAGAACAAAATGATTTTAAAAACGTTTGTACAAAGTCCAAATGGCTCTCGGATCAGAATCTTCACATTTTGAATACCAGATCAATAAAGGTTTTATGAATTGAAAAAGATAGTATCAATTGTAGGTTGTAGTACTTGCGAATCTCAGATTATGTTACCTTCAATGCATACAATTAAAAATCCACTACAGTTTTCATAATAACACAAATGAGAATGGGAAGGGAGAAGAGGTGCTTTGTCAACCATTTTGTTTTTCTATAACTTCCCTAATGTTTACCTTTTCCATAATAACAAATCAGTGCTCCATCCCCTCCGATCAGCCTTAACCACCACGTGGCCAGCCCTGCATCCAGCCTTAAGCACCACGTGGCCCTTAGGCAACGCCTCCCTTTTATCTTATCCCTATATCAACTAACTATTTTTAACACGTCAACCCTACCTCAACCATTATTGACTATTTCTAGCATTTTTTTTTTTTGCACTCATCTTAGTTTTCTAAATATAAATTTAGAATTAAGCCATCGAGAAAGTTTGTTGATGTAATATCGTTGTTAATATTTTTCAACATACATTCTTTTGATTTACGAGCACGCTAGTACCACGCCATAACACACTTTGATTCATTAACAACAGCAATATATCAACTAAAAGAATAATAGATATCTATTATCTTTTATCTGGAAATGGTTAATTTCTTTAAACCTTTTTTCATTTTGATAATCCTTTCATAGTCTAGATTTCAATTGGGAATTGAACTTCCCTACAAAACTATTTACAGCAAAAATTTCCCTACAAAACTATTTACAAAAAAAAATTCTCTAATTAACTATTTACAATTGTTATCAGGGAAAAAATATGCCATACCCCAACACCTCATCTACCCATCCGGTATGGAATAATGACCATGAGCCAAATTACGAAATAATTGAACGAAACATCGTCTTAATCTCTTTTCCGTCGCGCATTGCATCTAAATAATCTTCGAAGGTTAATCTATTTTCTACAGTTGACTTTTTTATCCCTTTCGCCTTTTTGATGACTTTATCGGCGTGAATTCGTATCGAATACATCTTCGCACGATGTATCGAATGTACATCTTCGTACTATCAATCGATCGATGCAATCGGTGCTCCAACGCGGTGCCCTTCTCCGAGTTTGCCGAACTTCTATTCAGATGAATACTGACAAAGTTTAAATATTTGTAAATAGTTGTTGTTTTTTTTATAAATAGTTTTGTAGTAAATAGTTTATTTGTAAAAAAAAATAAATTAAAAAAAATTAATCAAAAAATATATATATATAAAAAAGGAGTTTTATTTTCATTAATATGTATGTAGAATATTTCTATATTTTAGGTGAAAGACAATGACTTTTAATTCAATTCCCAATCGAAATCTAGACTATGAAAGGATTATCAAAATGAAAAAAGGTTTAAAGAAATTTACCATTTCCAGATAAAAGATAATAGATATCTATTATTCTTTTAGTTGATATATTACTGTTGTTAATGAATCAAAGTGTGTTATGAATGGGTCACTGGCGTGGTACTAGCGTGCTCGTAAACTAAAAAATTATATGTTGAAAAATATTAACTATGATATTATATCAATGAACTTTCTCGATCGTTAGTTGAGATAGCGATAAGATAAAAGGGAGGCGTTGCCTAAGGGCAACGAACTGGCCACGTGGTGCTTAAGGCTGGATGCAGGGCTGGCCACGTGGTGGTTAAGGCTGATCGGGCGGCTGACCACGTGGTAGTTAAGGCTGGGTAGAGGCGATGGAGCAGCGATTGCATCGATCGATTGATATCAAGCCAGGTCGTTATCAATCGATCGATGCAATCGGTGCTCCAACGGGGCGCCCTTCTCCGAGTTTGTCAAACTTCGTGCGAAGATGTATTCGATACGAATTCACGCTGATAAAGTCATCAAAAAGTTACCTCATACTAGCCTTAACCACCTGGCTTGGAAAAGGAGTTTTATTTTCATTAATATTTATGTAGAATATTTCTATATTTTAGTTGAAAGACAATGACTTTTAATTCAATTCCCAATCGAAATCTAGACTATGAAAGGATTATCAAAATGAAAAAAGGTTTAAAGAAATTTACCATTTCCAGATAAAAGATAATAGATATCTATTATTCTTTTAGTTGATATATTACTGTTGTTAATGAATGAATGGGTCACTGGCGTGGTGCAAGCGTGCTCGAAAACCAAAAGAATGTATGTTGAAAAATGTTAACAATGATATTATATCAATGAACTTTCTCGATGCACCCACACCTTGACGTGGTGAGAAGGCTTAATTCTAAATTATATTTAGAAAACTAAGATGAGTACAAAAAAAAAATGCTAGAAATAGTCAAAAGTGGTTGAGGTAGGGTTGACGTGTTAAAAATAGTTAGTTGATATAGGGATAAGATAAAAGGGAGGCGTTGCCTAAGGGCCACGTGGCGGTTAAGGCTGGATGTAGGGCTGGCCATGTGGTACTTAAGGCTGATCGGACGGCTGACTACGTGGTAGTTAAGGCGCGGCGGAGGGGGTGGAGCACCGATTGCATCGATCGATTGATATCAAGCCAGATGGTTATCAATCGATCGATGCAATTGGTGCTCCAACGGGGTGCCCGTCTCCGGGTTAGCGGAACTTCCTGCGAAGATGTATTCGATACGAAAAGTTACCTCATACTAGCCTTAACCACCTGGCTTGATATCAATCGATCGATGCAGTCGGTGCTCCATCCCCTCCGCCCAGCCTAAAGGTACTATTTGGCTGGCGCGGTCGACGACAGCGACCGCTATTCCCCCCTGCCAACCGCTGTTGGCGTAGCTATTTCGCTGAAACTGCTCACTGGGGTTGTTATAACCTGCCTATAACCTTCGAACATTTCGCTGTATCTTCGAAGATAAAAAGATGGACATAATATAAGAATAAAAATGAACTTCCTATAATAATGAACATCTCTGACTACCGCTTTTTTATTTGAGTTGGAAAAAGAAGAGAAAATGTTGTTCATAAAGAGAAGGAATATCAGTATTTCGATGTGATGCTCATCATCAAAGTTCCTCTGATATTACATATTATTAGTTTGAAAAATAATAGTAATTAATACATAATTGGTTAGTAATAAATATCATATATTTGCAATTAAATCTCAGCAAGCGATGTTTTATAATTTTATCAATAGTAATCAGTAAATCACCACTTTAATTAAAAAATACAAATCGTTTTTTCAATGGGTGGATTTTAGTATTTATCTGACGATAAAATTTGTTGGATTCTTTAATTTATGTAATATAGTTTGTATTTCGCTGTAAAATATTTCTGGTGGAATAAATAAATGAATAATCTTGTTACTTCAACCTTAAAAAAATAATTTACTATTGCATTGTTTCAGTTTTAAACAATATTTGTTATAATTTTGCCAGACTTGACAGAAACATAGGAAATAAAATGTATCGAAGTGACTGTTATCATCAAAACAATGCTCTGATATGATAATATAACCTACAACCGCCGAACCGCCAACAGCTCCACTGCTTCAAGAGGAGTCCGATACGAGCAGCTTAGATATGACGTCATACCTAGACTGCCGAGCAGCGCCAGCGAAATAGGTTCCTTTCTATTCCACTAAAGCAGTGGTCAACCGCGAGCAGTCGCGGTCGTGGACCGCGCCAGCGAAATAGTACCTTTAACTACCACGTAGTCAGCCGTCCGCTCAGCCTTAACCACCACGTGGCCCTTAGGCAACGCCTCCCTTTTATCTTATCGCTATATCAACTAACCATTTTTAACCCATCATCCCTACTTCAACAACTTTTGACTATTTCAAACATTTTTTTTGCACTTATCTTAGTTTTCTAAATATAATTTAGAATTAAGCTTTCTCACCACGTCAAGGTGAGTGCATCGAGAAACTTCATTGATATAATATCGTTGTTAACATTTTTCAACATATATTCTTTTGGTTTACGAGCACGCTAGTACCACGCCATGGGTACTAGCGTGCTCGTAAATCAAAAGAATGTGTGTTGAAAAATATGAACGATATTTTATCAACAAACTTTCTCGATGCACTCACACCTCGACGTGGTCAGAAGGCT